AAATTCCAATATTTAATATTAAAAAGTTTTGTAAAATAAGTATTGCCTGCTCACTATTGATCAAAATCTACAGAAACGTTTTTTTTAAAAAAAGCTCGGCGCAAGGTTTGATGATTTTGATAACAAAGTCAAAGATGCCTTCATAAACAAACATCCAAATTGTAATTTTGCTTGCTTGCTTAAATTTTGCTTGACTAAAAATACTCATTGAACTCATTGGGACCAACTCACCGTACTACTATGATAGTGGTCCCTCAAAAAAGCAACTATGATAGACAGGTGCCGCATGCATTTCGCAAGTTATAACTTTGAAAACTACTTTGTTTATAAACTATTCATTTCAAAAACCTGGCGAAATATGTTGAGTCAGAAACCTTTCAGATTAAAAATCGTAAGAACTATAATTTTTATATCAAGAAATATGCTCGCTTCAACTTATTTCACAGTGTAAAATCTTACTTTGTTTGGCTTTTTCTCATCAAAAATCGATTCTGACAGTTTTTTTCAACTTTCAACTTTAATATGTAGAGAGGGGAGGTTTTACGAAACAAAGAAACTTAAAGTTTGTTTGAAAATATACTGCGACATCTTTTTGAATGGAGAAATCATTATTGTTAAATATTTCAGAGCCCTATGTGTCTTATTCGCAAGGGAACTGGTTATTTTCAAGGGACCACACTATCATATTAGTACCCAACTCACAAAACCACACATAAAATAATGGTGGTGTATATTATGAAAAATGTTTTATTGGATGTTTTTTTTGAAATGTTTAAGGCACTATAGAATCGTTAGATAGCAATCAAAATAGTAATGGGACCAACAGCCGAAACTAGTCTTTTAGTTGAAACTAGGAGGCACACATAGGAAATTTGAATCTCTAGGTCGTGGATAATCATTACAGTTTTCCAGATATGCTTTGCATTCAGTTATCTGAAACGCCCCCGGAGTGATTACTCGCCTCAATTCCAAGCATAAGCTTCGGCATGGTGGCGCAACTTGTACCATTGGTTGATCGTTGACTCCTTTAGGGTAATCTGTTACATCTATACATGCTGGATATAAGACCGCACAGGCTAACCTCCTCGAGTTTAAGTTAATATCATTATAACGCAAGCAATCCAACTGGAAATGAACGAAAAAGTTGTAGAATTGTTGATGGTGAAAGGTATCTTGAGTTTCATTGCCAAACAAATCCCAACCGAAATAATTTGGCCAGTAATAACCACACGTTGTTTCTGCCCTAAAATCCATGTGAAATTTTTTACATTGGCCGGGAATAGGTTTTTCTGTAACTGTGAAGTTCAAGGTCAAGGCATCCGTGTTTATAACAACATTGATCAAACACAAAGCCATGAAAGTGCGAAAATTCATTGAGCTGGCTACTTTCGCTGACCTCGGAAAAGATGATTATGATGGAAAATTTTAGATACGGTTTTTCAGTAACAAGGTTGCAGTACAGTTTAATTCAATATTGGCAGAAGTTGAGAAACAACTTTCTTCAACAGGCAAAATAGTTTAGACGAACGGCACCTTTTGTCTGTGTATTTATCTGATAACACATCAAAAGTGTTCTAGACAATTGATGATAAAACGCTGTCGGTAGGTTATGCTTTTTATCTTGATTTTGATCCGAGCCATTTTGTCTCAGTTTGAAAAGATTACTGGGTGGGCACTTGTATTTCGACGCTTCCTAATAATTGCAGCTAACGCGTTGAGCATCATCGAAAAATAAGATTATTGTTTTTAAATGTCTAGCTTTCTTAGATATATTTCGTGAGTCTAACAGAACTAAATGTCTTATAAGAATATTGCGAAAGTTTGTTCTAGCTAATGCATTTATCTCGTAGGAGTTTTTAGCTCTCTTTTAAAGTTTCCATGCACACTTCCATGAACTTAAGGATTAAAAAACTGATTTAGTGTTGTCAATTGTCAGTAAAACTTTGCAAGCTAAACGAATTAACAATCATAAACATTCTGTTTCTTTTACCTCAAATTGTCATATCCCGCATGAAGCCATCTTTATACGTTAGACTGCTATGGAAACTAAAAAATTGCAAGTACGTCTTAACAAAGAAAAAAAAACTGCTCATATCAAAGTGAAGCCCTGATTGCTTCGACTGCCTTTTAAGGTCTATGAACCAGTATAAACATGAAAAACTTAAATGTAAAAAAAAGAAAATAAAATGAAAAAAATTATGTAAAAAAAATTGAGATTTTTTTGTGAAAAACTCCCCCCCCCCACCACACGCCATATAAAGTACAAAAAGACATATAAGGTACGCTGCTAGTAACAAATCAATTATAGCATATAAGCTTCCTTCAACCAAATTGGAACAATTTCTACGACGGATTAAACCTCCGCTTACGCGTTAAAAGCGCGAAATATATCGCGCGTTGATTGTCCCAAATTGGCCAAAACGGCAATCTTTAAACAAGCAATACTTTACAAAAAAATGATCACAGGTGAAATATCTTTTCAAGTGTAAGCTCAAGACAACAATAGCTTTCGAATGACATTAAAAATCCGTTAAAAATGGCTAGTTAAAAAGTCGAAAATTGTCTGAAAAAAACCCACCCCGAGCACAAATATTCCGTTACTTTCGTTGCGAAAGTCGGAACAATAATAACTCTGCTCAAAAAACTAGATTTTTTGCTAAAAATCATTTGTTATTTGTTTATCATTTTTCAAAGACAACTTTTGTCAAATATGCTTACACTGATGCGTTTTCAGGCCAATTTTCTGTCAATACAATTTTGAGTCACCGGGTTTGATATTCGCGTGGCCGAGTACAGGCCAAAAAAGCAAGATCAGAGCTCTAAACCAATTAAGAAAATTAAAATAATTGTGCCAAAAAAAACACCTTCCATGGCTCTGCACAGAAAAAAAAATACATCTCAAATCTCTAGAACCAAACTCCGATCCAATTTGACTGACCTAAAACAGAATAATTTGTGTCAATAACGTATTTGTATCTTTTTGTGAAATATTTCACTCTCTTTTCACTGGAAAACGTAATTATCACCAACGTGCATTCAAAAACCAAATCAAAGTGTATCACTTTTAATCTATGCTTGTTTTTAGTTTTCAGCCCCATAAAACTGGCGGTGTTTTTGTTAAAATTATTTCCGGCTTGGCGCCATTGCACAAATTTTGTTTTGAAAAAGAATTTTAGTTCATTTTAATGTTTTGTAAATTTCAAAGCGCATTTCGAGTAATACAAAGCGCATTTCGAAATGATTTAAATGACATTAATATGAACCCACACTTAAACTCTTACAATTTTTTTGTGACAATACTTAAAATTCAAAAAAAAACTTGGCAAAAAACCTGAATCTCAGATCCTTCCCGTTTATTTGTGATTTGATCGGCACAGCAAGCTGGCCAGATACACCAGTTTGCGACAAAAAAAAAACAACTTATGGGATTCCATATTATTGTTCCGACTTTCGATACGACGGAATATTTGTACTCGGGGTGGGTTTTTTTTCTTCAGACAAATTTCGACTTTTTAACTAGCCATTTTTGACGGAATTTTTAAAAATCATTCGAAAACGATTGTTGTCCCGAACTTAAATTTGAAAAGATATTTCACCTGTGATCGTTTTTCGTAAAGTTATGAGGGTTTAAAGATTGCCATTTTGGACATTTTGACCAATTTGGGACAATTAACGCGCGATATAATTCGCGCTATTAACGCGTAAGCGGAGATTTAATCCGTCTTATAAATCGTTCCAAGTGGTTGAACGAAGCTTATCTGCCATAATTGATTTGTTACAAGGAACGAAATCTATCTTTTTGTACTTTATTTGGCGTGTGGGGGGATGATTTTCATAAAAAATTTCAAATTTTGGCGAAAAAAAATTTTCATTTTATTTTATTTCATTTAATTTTTTATGTTATTACTGCTGCTCCATAAACCTTAAAAGGCAGTCGGAACATTCAGGGCTTCGCCCTGATACGAGCAGTCTTGTATTAGTTTAAAATCAATGTTTACATATCTTTCGAAAGATCAATTGAAGAAATGATTGGAAAAGGGCGTTTTTTCCTGTGAATTTCTTCCTGTGGTTTTTCTGATACAGCTGTGGCTCCAACAAATTCTGCTGTCCAGCTACTGCCAAATTTTCCGGTTTCGACAGCTGTTTCCAAATGTTAACCTTGTGTGCGTTTTGCATTGCATTTTAATGTACTTCGAAGTCAGGTCAGGTCGTCTAGGATATCAGATGCAGGGGCGGATTTAGGGGGGGGGGGGGGCGGACGCCCCTTCCTCAGGGATTCGACCCCTTGCTGACCCAAAGGGTCCCCCCTTTGGTTCTTTTTAAGAAATCCATTTTTTGCCGACCGACCCTAAAAATTTTCTAAAGGCACCTTTGGCGCCAATATATTAACTTTGAGGGGGAGCGCGCGCCAAAAAACGCGATTTTTTTTTGTCAAAATTTTTCAAAAGTGCCTAAAAACGGCTTTTTTGACCCGTTTATTCAAAAATTTGCCTGCGGCGCAGAAAATTTGGCGAAAAACAGGGACCTTTTAGTGCTTTAGAAGAGCTCGGAAAATCAATTTGGTCGACCTAAAAAAAAAAGGTCGTCAAAATTTTCAAAAAATTTTTGAAAATCCGCCCCCCTCGAAAAAATCCTAGATCCTCCCCTGATCAGATGACAACTTCTTTCGTTTAAATTGAAATTTGTAAAATTCGTTAAAAACTTTGATTACATCAGTTTTGAGCACTAATTTTGCGGAAGAATGCATGAGTAGTGATTTAACATGGTTTAGTTAATCAAAATTTCTAATTAAAATCTGGGTAAGCATGAATGGCGAGAAATTTATAAATTTACTAAAACGTGTTTTTTTTGTCTTTGAACATATTTTTTGCAGTGATTAGTTAGGTCAAAAATTAAGTGCGAATTCGAAAACAACTGGCTACATTTGATTGATCTTCTTTAGAGACATTTCATAGAATAAAATTTGCCCTATTTTAAAGAATTACTTAGTCAGAATTGAATATATTTGATACTTGAATTTATAATAGAGATATTCTAAAATAAACATCTGATATGGATTTGATATGTCTACATTAACAAAGTGTTCAACTGAATGCGATAATGTTTTTTATTCTAGACGTTCTAGATGTGATTCGCTCGTCGCTTGAGTTTTCATTCGTCTACTGATGTCGCCACAGACAGGTCCTGAAACAAGACAGTGTTATATATTTTTTTAATTTCCGACCCTATTTTTAAACAAGAGGTCTGTGGTTCGAAGCCCTCTAGGAAACGTGCTCGTTATTGGAATATCGTGCAATTTTCTCACTTGACTTTATCAAGAGCGGAATAGCGGTTCTCTGTGAAGACCAGATAAGTTCGTATAATGGTGCTTTTAGTCTCATAAGTCTTTTAGTCTTTTAGTCTGTATTTTGCAAACTCAAGCCATAAAAGGCCAAAAAACGAATTAAAAAAAAGACAACGCAAAACTGAGTATTGAAAAAATCAAGCCTTGAAGCTGTAAAACACAGCTGGGGAAATTACAAGATTCGATCCCCCAGTCTGCGGGTAGTACTAATTAGTATTAATTAGTAATAATTTGTGGACTAACTGGGAACTTGTAGGTGTAGCATGCCGCAATGATGTCCTGAATGTGAGGATGTTGAGAGAGTGCAGTGAACTTCACAGGTCCCCCCATCTGTTCAACCCCTCCCCCTCCTCCCCCCAACTCGGCCCAAATCTCCTCCAACTTCTTCACCGAAATCAGATCCTCCTCTTCCGCGTCAGCGCCAGCCGCGAACCTACAAAAGTCATCAGATAGAAAAATGTTAGCTCTTTTTAACAACTACCCCCCATGATAACTGGTAACGACTAGCCACCCCAAAAGAAATAATTCAACGGCTAAAAGCGTATGTGAATTTTGTACCTAGTAACGAAATTACCCCCTCCCTTTTGCAAAAGTGGGGAATAGTTAAAGATATCAAAAATGTTTAAACTCAATGATTTTTGTTAATTCAATTTGAAAATGTTAAAACTTGGCGAGTTGAAAAATATACGATAAGACCCTTTAGACAAATTATTCCATTGTAGTGAGAAGTCACCAATAAAAAAAACAGTTAGTAATAATAGTACTTTTTTTTCTCAAAACCGATTTTCGCAAAGAGTACTGTTAGTACTGAAACTTGTACGTATGAAAAATAAACAAAAAAGTTTTTCCGTTTGACTTCATTCATGGATTAGCATGGCTCATGATAATTGTCCATAGAGGTCAATGCTAGCAGTTCTTATATCAATATAGATGGAAACAAAATGCAGTAATTTTGCTACAAATGATTTCAGAACAAGCCAGTACAAAAAGGAAGTAAATACATTGGAACCTAAGCTATTGTGTCATTATTTGTCAAGCGCCAGCGAACTTACTTAAAGACATCGGCGAAATTTTTTTCCTTCAAAGAAAAAATATTTCATCAAAAATTGCGATCTTTTTTAAACCACTGGTCCTTACCACCATTATCATGAAAAGAGTTCGAAGACTGCCATTTTCAATTAGTTAGATAATTCTCATCTCTTTGAGTATATGTTCTAAATGACACGAACCGATTGGAATCGCCTTGAGTCGTCTGGCCATGCTGCAACACGAGAAGAAACGACTCGAGGCCAACTTCGGCGTCAATAGCCGAGTCGGGAATATCAATCGGAGGCACGACTAGTGTTGCAGTGTTCGGCTGATGCGCTGCAGAGTCGCCTTGACCGGTCTCGGAAGCGCCGGCACCGCTCTGTGCGATGCTGAGTCCCGATTCCATCATGACAACCTCGTTTGCGGGAGGTAATTCAGACGTTACAGACACTTCCGACCTCTGAGTAACTACTGGAAAAAATCATAACATTAAAAAAGGCAGTTGATGAAGAATTTCAGACAAATAAACTCTACAGCGCCCAGACATGTGTTGTTAACTAGCGCAGAAAACACTATAAGCTCAATTGGCATAGCACTAGGGCGTATCTCCGAAGTAATCATGGGCTCAACCATATTCTTCCCTTGATGATAAATGATTTCATTTTTCAAGAGAATGAGCGATTTATACAAATATCAAACTGATTTTTCGACAAAGTTTTGTTGAAATTCACGTCAAAAAACCCCATAAACCCGCCCCGGCGCAGCCGACTATCTAAAGTTCAGAAAGCAAAATAGGTTTTATTTCTAAACACTATCAATGATTTCTTACAATGGAACTGTAATTTACTTTTAAAGATTCTAGGCTCTAATTAGCTTTTGAAAAGAACTACACTCCGATAAGGTTTTACTTACTATTTGCTGTTTTAGGCGTTTTGGCGTCAGCTGCAAATAAGGGTTCTTTAAAGAACAGCAAACAGACATTTGGAAAAGCATTAAAAAACTGAGATAACAAAAAAACTATGAACTTTTTTAGCTTCTAAAATTTATGAAGCAAAACTACATCACCTCAAAATCTACCAGCCTATAAGAATTTGCTCAATTGCTATATTTTGTTCTAAACAGATTTCTAAGAGTTTAAATCCATTTTTTAAACTAAAATCTAGAGCTAATTGTAAATTCAATTTATATTTCGAAGAAAACAGAATATTTTACTTTTACCTAATACATCAAGACTGAGATACCAAAACTTTTGAAAAAATCAGATCATCAAAAGAAAATTTTCTAAAAAGTTCAACGTTCTCAATGAAATGTTCAAAAATACTTGTAGCTCAAGGGTAAGACAACCTCATCCGTATCAAAAATGATGAGAAAAATTGGAGAAAAAATTTAATAAAATCTATATTCTTTAATTTAATCTACCATAGCTCTGTTTAGTAGTCAAAAACATAGCCAACAGGCAGTTGGAAAACATTCAATTAACGCAAGTAAACAAAAAAAATTGACTTGTTTTTTTGAAAAATTCTCAACTTTCGAATTAGAAAGAAAAATTTGGATAGCTTTAAAGCTCTTTGAATTCCTAAAACAATTTATGATTGACACTTTTTTGATGCAATTTACCCAGTTTGAGAAAACTGGATCAATCAGTAACTTTTTATTTCGCTGGGATATCTGAAAATTAAATTCCACTTTCAACACTAGAAGTGGATCACGATTTTCGTGACCTGTACACTTTCGTAATTAGAGAGCGCAACTTGCGTAATTTTTAGCAGGTGAAAATGAATTAAACTCAAAGAGTGCATATATACCTAGAAAATATCCTATATGCATTATGCATCAATATATATGAATGTCTTTCTGTAAAATTTTCAGATTTCCTGAAAAAAAATATCACGACCTATATAAGAGCCTGAACTACTAAACTACGTTAAACGACTCCTAACAAGGGAAGAAACTTTGGAATCATTCTGATTAAACAATGGCACGAAGGCTGGAAAAATGGGAAGAAGTACATTCGAAATATTCATAATGCATACTTTCAAAGCTAGCAATGCTTCTTTGACAATTAAATTGGATCAGTGGTGAAACATACATACCTCGTAAGAAAAACTAATTGGGTCTATTTTTACAATTAATCTTGACTAGAAACTAACGTGGTTCGGTCAGTCGTGGAATGTGAGTCTGCGCCGAAACACTCAACGCTCTAAGGAACCCCTCGACAGGTTCTGGATCCGAGCTGAAATACAGCAACATCCGTACGTAGTCCAGTGCTACCGGGTCATTGTTGCCGGCTTCTTCTGCTGGGGTTTCTTCGTCTGCTTCGCCGAAGAGTGCGAAGAAGAAGGCTTTCAGGGCGGCACAACGAGCGAAGGGGAAGGGTTCCTCTGGATCTTCAGGAGTGGGGGCACGGCTGTCGTCTTTGAACCACAAAGGCACCTGAAAAACTCAAAAGGTCAATTGTGCATCTTAAATATTTATAAACACTTGAGACTGAGTATTGCCATAAGTTTTTTCAAGTCAAAAGAAGGACTTATCATGCAAACTATACAATGTACTCTTTCGACACAAAGCAACAATTTTTGAACTGTCAAGTATTCAAACAAGAAATATTCCGGGCTTCTACAAGGGAAACAAGTACTCTAACACAAGAAATTCAACTCACTATGGAGAGACACGGTTGAGCCCTTAACTGAAACTTATTGTTCCGACCATTTGAAAAACGGGAAGGAATTTTGTATTCGGCTGTGTTATATATATTTTTTGTTCACTCAAAATCAGGTGCCACAAAAAATCATCGGAATGAGTCGGGTGAGACATCATATTGAAGCTCTTTCAGTTGTGATTCGAGCGACATACAAAAAATTTTAAAAAAATTTCTCAATGTCAAAAAAGAAACGTTTGAAATTTTTGATTTTTGGTCCTAATTTTGAGCTATTAAACCGAGCGAGCAGGCTTTTTTTATGCTTAGTTCCAGCCATTTACAATAAGTTATTTGTGCCTAATTTTACTTAGAAAAATTGTTGTCCAAATTGCTTATGTTTTTTATAACTGTCGAATATGTCTAGTTTTTTGTAAGACCACGCGGAAAAAAAAACAAAAAAAACGACACTAATTTGAAAAAAAAATTTTTGTTGTATTTTTAAGACTATACTCGGAACACTCTGTGCTACTTGCACAGTAACCGGCTAGCCTTGTTCTTTTTTAGTTTTCTGAGGGTCTGTCAATAAAAATCTAGAAACAATCACTCACTCGGTCATAAGTGTCTCTGTCAATGAACCCAGTAGCGCCCTCGTCTTCACTCTTGTAAGCAGTGAGCAACTCCAGCAGCTGTGTCTGGGTTGGGTGGATCCAGGGTTTACTAAGAGCCAGCAGGAACTTCCTCCAGTCCACGTATTCTGTGTTGGGGGTGACATTGTTCGCTATCTCTGTCAGTTTGTCATTGGATAGACTCACCCACACGTCTGGCAGAGTCTCTTGGCCTTGCTAGAACAAACAAGAAATCGATGTTTAAAATTCAATTTCCGCGGAATAAAAGTTTATTTATAGTAAAAACGGAGCAGAAAAGATAAGCCACAGCTGATCTTATGATGATTTCAACGTTTTTCAACTTTAAGCAATGATAAGTAACAGGCAACATGCCAATTTCGATCTCATCGGTTCTCAAACATGTTTTGAAATTTCACAAGAAATTGACAATTATGTAAAAATTGGACGAATTTAGTTATTCTGTTTTGATATCAGTAGGAGAAAAAATCGAGTAAATTCTTGGGAAGCAAAGTTTTGATGAATAATAAATCAAAAATTGGAAAAAAAAATAGATGAGCTCAAAAAGGTAACGACTGACGGTGAGTGCATCCAGGTCGCTCATGATGTCGATGAAGCCCTTGGCCGAAATCTGTCCCGAGGGGGCGGAGAGGGCGAACTGGTTGAGGAGGGACTTCAGTTGTCCCACTGTGAAGTGCACTGAGTCCCCTATCTCCTCCGGGTCTGGCCTAGGCTGGGGGCTGTCATCTCTGAACGCGATACGGTCCTGGAACAGTCGAGTCTTCGTCAAAAACTTTTGTGACAAATAATTTTGGAGGTTAATTTTTGACAAATTTTGATACACAGAGGCGGAGCAAACGACACTTGCGAGAAAACGACAGAAAGCAGCTCGATAAAGTTCAAAAATAAAAATTATAAATAAGCCTCGAATTAGCAAAAATTCGTTTACTTCTGAGATGCTAACATGCGATCTAGAGGTTAAGAGTCTCTCACAATCAACCGTCAGTCACGGAAGCTTAATATACGCCAAAACACTAGCCACAAGGAAAGCAGAGAACAGATGCTATGCAATGTCCAATGCTACAAAGAAATTTCCAAATAAGTGAACAATTTTAATGAACCCTTTTATTTGCGAGTTGAATTAGAAAAAAAAGAAGGTTTGTAATAATACACTAAGCTGATCGCAAATTTAAAATACAACTAATTTATAATGAGTTGGAAGGTTGTAACTAATTGAATCAAATGTAGCTCAGAGAAGCCAATTCAAAAAACATCCTAAAATTATAAACTGTTCATTACGACTGATGAAACTAAAAATCATAGCACTAAAACATAGAAACTAAAAAAAATAAGCAGATGATGTCAATATTATCTCCTTGGGTAAGAACTGCATGCAATTTTTGTTTTTCCGAAGTGATGAAATGTGATAAATGGCCATTTATTTAACGAGTACTCACACCTCGTACAAGCAAATGAAACTGATAGTGAAAGCGGTCATGATAAAACACTCTTATTAAAACATTTGATAGCTGGATAGCTACACTAAAAAGACCATTCATTTTTGAGGACAGTAGCTATTGCACTTGTGTGAGTCAGAAGTGAGCCTCTAAATGACGTGGTATCTCACCTCGTGGAAGTGGAACTGCTCCTGTTCCAGAATCAGTTCCTCCTGCATCCTCAGTCCCTCTTCAATGCAGTATTCCATAGCCTCGCACACTCTACAAACAAACTATGCTTCGAAGTAAAATACAGAAGATTAAAACATTTGATGGCCAAACTACAAGATCTTTTCAGAAAACCTAGAATCCTCCCCTCGTCTCAAATAAGCTTCAAATTTTTGGTGTACCGCGTGGTTCCAGAAGATTAGGTACGTTTAGATTAGCATAAGTAGTCCGGATATTATGAGTCAATGTTTTACAAGTGAAAACTTACAGGTGGGGGATTTCGAAGAAAGCCGTAACATATGCCTAGGTCTACTCAAATATGACGGTACTATGGCTCCATGAAACCAAGAATATTTTTTAAGGCTCTCAGTCATAATCTACTAAAATTTTTGCCAAGAATGAGAATTTCAACAACTTTGACTTTTCCAAAAAATCAATAAACTCAATATTCAAAATCAAGCAAAAAAAAATTCTTGTAGCAATCACGTTATTCAAGATGCCATGATCTAAACTGTATCCCTATTTGTAGTGTCCATACCTGTCTATGGCGGCCATTTCCTGTCTGAATCTGCCCCCCAGCCACTCGTCCATGTGACAGTAGGCGTCTTCTGCCTTGGCCTTCACATCCTGGATGACTGTCATCGCCTTCATCTTAATCAGCTCCACCCGCACACGCAGTGCTTGCTCTGTCAATAGAAAATATTTTCACTTTTTTGAAAATATAAAGACCAAGTGATAGCGACTCACATTATATTATGACATCGTATTTTACCATCAGATAGACCAGGGGCGGATCTAGGATTTTCTCGAGAGGGGGCGGGGGGAGATTTTCAAAAAAATTTCGAATATTTTGTTGACCTTTTGTTTAGGTCGACCAAATTGCTTTTCCGAGCTCTCCCAAAGCACTAAAAAGACCCTGTTTTGGCTAAAATTTCTGTGCCTTTAGAAAAAATTTTAGGGTCCGTCACCAAAATCTCAAAATAGTACAAAGGGGGGGGGGGCAAAATTGCCAAACTGTTCATTGAGCCTCTGCTGTCAATGAAAACCTTGATTTTCTTTTGCTGTTAACCTTGATTTCAACCAATCAGATTCGAGAATTATGATGCAATTTTCAACATAAGAGAAAGATGCGTTTTGGTCCGAGTAACAGAAAAGACCCGCCTTACCCTCCATAGTGAGTGCCCCAATGTACTCCTGTCTGATCTTGTCCTTCACGGCCTTCTTCGCCATCTCCTCCGCCATGATCTCATCCTGAGTGGGGGAGGCAGCACCCCCGTCCACTCCCCCCTCCCGACTCCCGCCCCCACCGGGAATCGCTGAGTCCTTGCCCACATTAGGGGCGCCGCCTTTCTTAGGTCCCGCAGAACCCTTGCCCCCTTTTTTGCCCCCTGTGAACAAATTCATTTTCAGCGAAAGTGAATACTATAAAACGAAACGAAATTCGAATAAGAACTGATGATTTAGAAAGAAACTCAAATTGTACATGATCAAATTATATTTTTGTGAGTAAATGAACAAAAAGCTGGAAGATTTGTATTTTTTGATATTTTTCAATCTGGTCATGCTTTGTCGCCAAAATTATTCAAGGTAGTCAAAATGATTTTTTGGAGTTATCGTGGCGCTAAGTAATAAAGTTTGGTCTGAAGCTAGTGTTACGTGATTTCAAATAAAAAGTAGGTATATAAGTTAATAAAAAAAACATGGGCGACCCTTCAATTTGTTAACTCAAAATATTGAAATAGCAAAAAAATAAGTTGTGTAAAAGCTTTGTGAAGAATTTTCAATGCAAGCAAAAAAAATATAAAGCCGTCTGATTACTGGTATTGGGCTGCGCTGCAAATTTAAGTGCAGAGCTATTGAAGCCATTCGCTTGTGCTTTTGTGCCATTCGCTTAGCATGTAAATGCAGTGCCGAATAAAATCTAAAACTGTGCCGAATAAAATCTAAATTACCGATAGCTAAAAAATGCAAACAGATCTTGATTTAAAACAGCCAGTGTAAAATGGTCTGAGTCAAAAGTCATACAAGGGTTCATGAAGTGTTAATTGGAAAAATTAGTATTAATTACGCATTTGTGTAGCATACCTGGCGCTAAAATACACTGTTATGAGATGATTGTAAGCTTATAACTTGGCAAGTTCATTGCAATATTTTGAAGAAAATTGCACCTATGTAGTTAATTGCGATAACTATACATTGTCCGGCTACCTTTGAACCGATCAAGTGAATCGTTGAAGACGGTCATAACTTGAAACTACATCCATATTTGGGCTAAATTTAAAAACCAGCAGAGCGATATCGGGAGCCACAGTTTTAACTGAACTCCAAATTCCTTTGAATACAGTATGTCCCCGAACGAGAGCCGCGCAACTTTGCATTAACCTGGTTGAGAAGTCTTTGAATTCAGACGTATTTTTGAGCGCCTCTCTCATTGAGGTATAATAATCATAATAAATTGTTCTCCAGGACGGTTTGTTACATTATTAATTTAAAATAATTCATCATTTTTCAAGCATCGAACTTGAACGGACGCTGAAGGCTTTACAGCATGTTAGAAAGCATCGTATGAGAGCCTTTCATCCTTTTATCATAGCTACCTTTTGTCAGTAAATTTATTTATACTAATTTTTGTTTGGAAATGGGAAAATTGTCAAAAATTTAGAAAAAAAAAATTCAAGAGGGAAAACTGTCATAAAAAAACGTAGTAAACACCTCAGAGCCTATTAAATAATTATGTGTTATATTATGAAAATAGTCATTAAACTTGAATTTCTCAATGTGATGAAGTATTTGAGTATCGACGCGTTTAAATTTGTGATAAAAAATGACGCTGAAAATAATTCAGGTAGAAAACAGAAAACTTAAGCCTTGAAAACGATATTGGAGTCCCAAAGTACGGCTTTTTCAGCAAAACGCTGCATGCAAAAACCAAGAATAAAATATTACCATCTCTAAATCGCCTGGTGCTGGGCGCATTTCGCACTAATAACCGCCAGGCGTTTTAATAAACAGTTTGTGTTTTGACTCTGACAATCTCGCAACAAGTATCAGCCCGACTGCCTCATCTGCTGATTTTGGATCCAAAAAGTACTGATTTCTTTGTCCCCAATTAATTTACCTTCATTGATATATCCGCAATTTCCTCCGAATTTTTGAATACATATTTTCATTAGCTGATATTCTTTTTCTGATGTTGCTCACTTGAAATTACAAACAGGTACTGATCTAGAATCTAGAAGGTAAACCTATTTTGAGAAAACAAGTCCAAAAAAAGCTTTGGGAAATTTTTGGAAAAATTTGACCCAATAACTGCGTTTTCGGCGAATGATCTATCAAAATTTAAATATGTTGGCATAGAATATATTATTCGATCAGCCAAAAATGGATGTCGTTCAATCCTTGAGTATACTAAATCAGCTACTGATGTTGATGTTGATCAGCTAGATTCATTCTGATGTTGATTTTTGAACATGCTCAAAGAGTAGGAAAAATATTTGTTTTGAAAAAAAATTTTTCGCTCGATATTGGGTACCTCAAAAAAGCTTGGGGGTTCGAAAAGTGTTTGGATTCCAGAAAGGTCTTAAGACATTATCTTTGTCGGGATAGATAATTGGTTTTGCTGTTATTTTCAGCTTGTTCATAGTAAAAAATTCTGCTCTCTTTCAGTAAGCCCTATAAGTTCTATAAAAATTTATGACCCATTCAGTATCAATTCGAACGACATTCAGAATGTTCAAAAAATTGTCGCAGTGTCGAGAAAACATAGTTTAAGTTTTTTAATTTTTAGTCCAATTTTGAGCAAGTAATGCGAGCCAGCATGCTTATTATAATAGAAAGATAAGCAATGAAACTTTTATTCAAGACCCTGAAAATTTAGTTTAACTCCAGCAACGTCAGTTTTCAAAGTTTTTAGCGCCACTTTGAGAATAAAAAAGTTCATACTTAAAAAATTCTGTAGAATAGAAAAACACCTGTTTTGCTCTTGCCTATTCTCCTATGAGTATCAAATATGCCTCAGTTTAAGGCTTTCTCGCAGATCCTTTCGTCGCACCACGCACAAAAAACCACATACATTTTTAACAAAATTTATTTTTTAGGTTTTTAGAGAACATGGTCGGAAAATTTGAATTTGGTGCTTTTTGCACAGCAATCGACTCACTTTGTTGTTTTTTTTTGTATTTGTTCTAGGGAATCAACTTTTACTTATTAAAGCTTTTTTTTTCTCTCCGCTAAAAAAACCTTATGGTTTCTGCAATGGCAACTTACAATTCTCTTGTATATATCTTGAGATATATTTTAACATAGACTTTCATTAGAGCTAGCAGGCAAAAATGAAAAAGTTTTCGGATAATTTCGGATAATTGAGTTTTATGGTTTATCTCGAAAATAATAGGAATACATGCTTTTTTAGCCATCCATTTCCTTACAACCGTATCGGCACCAAACCTTATTGTTTCGAGCAATTCTCCCAATTTCTCATTTTTTTTTGAATTTTAAAACACTTTGCTAATTTTTGTTTGATAAAAACTGATGCCGAATATACCAAACTTAGTATTACTAAAGTTCTTTTCAGCTCCTCTCATCAAATCACAGATAAACAACAACACCGTTTGAAAAAAAAACTTTTAAAAGTTTTTTATCAACGTTATCATCATCGGGATCCTTTATCCGCTTCTTTTAGAACCCAAAAGTGCTTCATTATTTTGGTGGGAACATTATGTGTACTTGCACAGCAACCGGTCATCCCTGTACCCTGTTACAAAATATAAACGGTTCGTTACCTTTCTCCTTGGCCTTGGCCTGTTTCTCCTTCTCTTTCTCCCGCTCCAACATGGCCAGTCGCTCCGCCTCCTCCTCCGCCTCTTTGGCCGCCTGTTCAGCCGCCATCTACACACACACAGAAAAGGTGACCGGCAAATAAGACGACAGTCATAAGACGACAAACGCTTTGATGCGACTTTGAGACGTCGCCACACGCAATTCTCCACAATGTATTTCCGAGAAATTTAAACAGCTTAAGTTCGAACTGCTCATTTTACATGTAATAAACCTTATTTGTCGTCTTAATGTCTTGTCGTCTTATTGACCTAGCACCCACACAAACACACTATCACTGAATGTTCAACCTTGAAGGCTATCATCATGGCACAAGGACCAATTAGCAGAACATTTCCCACCAATCATTGGCATACATAATTTTCCGTCATTCAGTACTTCGGACATGAGGGAGTTTACCTTGTAGCTTTAGTGCTCACAGATAAATGAAATGAAAAATTCATCTTTACCATTTAAGCATACTAACTAAAAAGTAAAGTACCTTAGTTTTATACTTTTGGGCTGTATAAATTACTGGGCGAAGGTTTCTACGACCTATAATGGTAAACAGGATATGATATGGAACTCTGACACAAATGCAACTTTAAGACGTCGCCACACGCAATTGTTCCAAATGCGTGTGGCGACGTCTGAAAATTACCACACAAGCTGAAAATTACCACACAAGTACAGACTTAATAAATGCTACAGTTTCTTGGCAAAGTTGTTTAGTAGGCTTTTGATTTTTTTACGTCTAGGTAGCAAAAAGATCCGTTTGTCAAGATATTTTGTGATTTTTGTTACTTGGTTCAGCAATAATGCCTGGGAAAAAACATGCAGGGTTAAATTGCCGCAACCTGATTGCTCGCACAAATAATTAAACGGCACACGGAATGGTTTTAATAATTTATCAAAGGAAATGAACTTGGGGAAAGTTACAAACGAAACCAAAACAAACCTTTGTTTTCTGAGACGCGAAACAAAAACAATCACATTAATTTTTCCAATCACTTGAAGAAAACCCGTTGAAATGCATAATTTCATTGCAATTCTCAAGATTACCACTTTTAGTTAAACGTGACGGTGAGTCTGTTTATTTTTATTTATTGGAAATTAAAATTCCTTGAAACAAAGTTAGAAATAATATCAATTGCTTTCCATTTTAGTAGTAAGTTGATAAGATTGGCAACGCTTACATTGAATTGAAGTTTTCTGGTTTTATGATATCGAAGAAGTATAGTAACTTTTTGAATTTTACTTAAATTTCTGCCGTTATAAATACAAATTATGTATAGATAAAAGACACCCCACAGAAAATCTATAACTAGTTATATTATTAGTGCTAACCAGTGCCTGAAGATGTTGGAACACATAGTTAGCCGCATCATACAGAATCTTCTCATCTTCATCATTGGGGGGCACAGGTGTCTCGGCGTGCATGTCTCCCCCTGCCCCCGCCGCTCCCCCAGCCCCGCCCTTCTTCTTGCTCAAGTCTGCCCCTCCCGCCTTCTTCGCCTCTTTCTTCGGCTGGGTGATGCCCTGAGGGGCGAAGTCGGCGGAGGCGGGACGTCTCGGAACCAGCGGGATCCTAAAAATGAACCAAGTTTTTGATGTTCATTTTTCAACTAAAATTATTTTGCGCAAGGTTATGATATGATTATAGACATAATGGTCGCAATTTGCGTACTATGAGCTTGACCGATCACGACAAATCGTAAACCAGGAGGATTCCGATTATGAACGCAAATCCGAATATCTATAAAACAATTAAGATGAAAATGTGTTTTTTTGCCACCAAATGAAAATTGTTAATCAAATTTGGTGCCAAATGAGGTAATGACGTGTTATTGGGATGACAGACTTGTATTTGTTCACAGTTTCGTATTTGTTCGTTTGCTTTTTCAGCATTTGACGCTGAACAGCTAAAGGCACTGGACTCCTAAAAATGAAACACCATAAAAGCAACTAAAGAAAAAACTAATTTTTTAGAATAATTAGATAACGCCAAAGTTAAAAACTAAAATAGATGTTTTTTGATTCAACTAACAGCTAGGTTTTATCATCAAAGTAGTGCTGGAGAGAAGATATTTTCAAAGATCTTATAATTTAGAATGTAACTAAGCATTTTATAATTAATTTGGGTGATGAAAATTTAAAAAAAAATAACAAACAAGACTACTCGTATCAGAATGAAGCCCTGAATGTTCCGACTGCCTTTTAGGCTTTATGGAGCAGTATTAACGTAACAAAATAACTGAACTAAAAAAACGAAAAAATATTTTAAAATTTGAAACTTTTTATGAAAATCATCCCCCACACACCATGTAAAGCACAAAAAAATAGATTTCGCTCCTTGTAATAAATCAATTATGGCAAATAAGCTTCTTTCAACCAATTTGGAACGATTTCTATGACGGATTAAATCTCCGCTTACGCGTTAATAGCGCGAAATACATCGCACTTTAATTGTCCCAAATTACAATCTTTAAACCCCAATAACTTCACGAAAAATGATCACAAGTAAAATATCTTTTCAAATTTAAGATCAAGACAACAATATCTTTTGAATGATGTAAAAAATTATCAAAAATGGCTAGTTAAAAAGTCAAAATTTGTCTGAAGAAAAAAACTCACCACAAGCACAAATATTCCGTTACTTTCGCATCGAAAGTCGGAACAAAAAGCTACATCTACCAAATGTTTTTCCGTTTGAAGAAAAAATTCTACCACTAGCTATAAAAAAAGCCGTCAAAATTATTAACCAGGATGCAACTTAGCCGAATATGTTCGAGAAGACGTCAGTTGAGCCAAAAATAAAACTGTTGTCACTGAGTTTCAAAAGTTTGTAGCTCATTCTTTTCAAACTTAGCCAACAGACAGTTTGAAAAAAGTTAATGAACGCAAACAAACACAACGATAGGCGCACGTAAAGCTATATGAATTTCAAAAACAACTTATCATTGAAAGTTTTTTGATAAAATTAACCCAATTTGAGAAATTGGATCAAAAGGTGAAATTTTCATTCCGCTGGTAAATCTGAAAATAAAAATCCACCTTCCAGACCTTTGAGCTTTTGCTGTTGGATAGTAGAATTTGCTTTCGTTTTATCAAAAGAAATGAACTTACTTAAAAATAAAGCAAAAGCCAAACCGCAAATAATTAAATTAAAACTTAAAAGGAAAAAAAACTTAAAAAAATCACGCCCCGTACAAAACTCGTTCACCGACTCCTAACAATCCCAACAAAACGCACTTTACCGGCACGCAACTAACCATAAGAGAAACTTTACCGCAAGATAAACCGGCACGCACTTACCGACACGCACTTTAATTTAAGGTAAATGCACTTTTCCGGCCGAGACTTAACAGTAAGATGAGTGGTAAGGCGCCCAGAAGTTATCGAGGTTTATTTTATAAAAGGACGATCAATCTCTTCAAAATCTGTGAGAAAAAGTGCTTAATGGAAAAAATCTTAGTTCAAGATTACTACAAGTACACACGTGTAAAAAAATAACATAAAGAATTAGGGCTTTAATGCAATATATTAACCGACCCCATTTCAAGGTTTATAATGATAGCTGACCTTGCATTAAAAAATACAGTCAAACCCTCAAGCTGCGTCCCCGTTACCGGGTAGCTTTTTCGTCAACATTTAATACGGTTAAGTTTTTATCTTAACTTCCAATCTACGGTTAAGTTTCTCACCTAATTTCCTTCGGAATGATTTTTTTACCCAGGAAATTTATGAGACTTGGCATTGAACAATGAAAATTCGACGCTTTTTATCAGGCTGCAAAGCCTTCAGCGTCCTTTTGACTTTAGTGCTTCATTAATTATTCGGTGCTTTATCAATAATAATCGAATAAATCCTGAAATACCATCGCAGACCTTTTCAAAAACCATTTGTTATTCTCCTGTCTTTATATATTCAAATCACTCTCGCATAGTTGAATACTAACTTTGGCTTCTCTCCGTCCTCCGCGTTGTCCTCGTGTTTGGCTGATTTGACTCTTTCGGATCCCTGGCTTTTCTTGGCCGAAGCAGTTTTGCTGTTGCTACTGCTCAGATTGTTTGTTTGGGTGGCATCTTGGGCTTGGATCTGAAACACAAACTTACAGTTGCAATTCCTTCTGTATAAACAATTAAATAGTACAGAGGGACTAAAATACAACAATTTTCAGGGCCAAAAATGAGCGTTTTAGAGAAAACAGTAACAAATAACTGAGTCAAAATGAACCGCATTTACAAAAATGTAGCAACTTTTTTGATGAAATCAAAAAATTCTGCAGGTTAAAGCCAGGAATTAGTTTCTAACTTTTCACTGTAATTGACACAAAACATAAGTGTTCGGAAACAAACTTTTTCCCACTTTTGGAGCACTTCGATTCTGGTTCGATAGCAGTTCACCCAGAATTTAGGGTGAACTGCTATCGAACCACTAACCATCAGATAAACAATCATTCAATGAGTGACTTCACTTTTTGTTTTCATGCCACTAATAAAAACAATTTTAAGCAGAGGGGGTGCTTAGACTAACAATCACGAAGCTTATCTAGATCGGACCCTCAGGCGGCTGACGACTAAAGCGAAGCGCAAATTATGACCCAATTTGGAATTCGTTGTTGTGAAACACAGCGCGAATAAACATCTGACAATATAATTGACAGAGAACCACGACGAATAAAAAAATGCAACTTGTCGCCTTTTTTTCATGTTTTGTCATCTTATTAAAATTTGAACAATGAACTCTTGAAGTCATTACATTTGATTATTAAGTTTTTTGAGCGCTTTCGTGAAGACAACAAATTACAGAGTACAAGCAAATCACGCGTGCTAGACATTAGAAGAATAGATTTGGTGGCATTTGGTTGTGAATAAAATAAATGGTCGATTGTAATTGTTAGTAAGTTTTGAGGAGATTTCAACTGACAGACAAGTTACTCCGAGTTCTTTTGCCCAGCAGGTTGATTACTCTGCTCAAAACACAATAGAAGCTGCTTAACCAAGTTAGCATAAAGAGCGCCTTTGTAGCCTTTTTAAACAACCCCTCAAATTTGAATCAACAAATTCTATTTTTCCAAAAAGTTCACTTCACAATCTGAAGTTTTACGCATTAATGTCAGGGCTCTCATAATGTAATGTGAAGTGCAATTACGGTTTCTAAGTTTCAAAATAACTTCTAAATTTCGAGCAAAGTTTTGCTCTGGTTTAATTCTAGTTATAATTTACACCCCGCAGAAACCATGTACAAGTCGGTGTTATTTGTGGACTTGCATGAGAAACCGAAACCGTCTTCTGGTTCACAAATCGCGCTGGGAAGTAATTATTTCAACGGATACCCGGCTACTTCCAGTCCTAACCTATTCTGGGACAGCAACCCCAACCAAAACAGCATTCGAAGATCTTCAGTTAGTTCTCAGCTATCAGATTTCGTGAATGTCAACGAACCCGAAGATGATTTAATGTACCTGTCAGACCATCGAAGGTTAACGCCTTTGCCCGATACACCCTCGCCGACCACCGTTTCTAAGAAACATGTCACGTTTAAAATTCCAGACAGGCCTAAAATACAGAAGCGAAGTGGAACCCTGCCCAAATCATACCAATTTAGCGAGGCAGTTGTATCTCCTTTTGTCATTAATAGTAGCCTTAGATACCCCAGACATCAAAATCCAGCAGTCGTTATTGATAGGAGAAGTCCAGCTTTGGCTCTTTACCAACAAAATGGAACAGTTAAGGCATCGAATGGCAGCTGGAACATAAGTCTAAGTTCGGAATCTCCGACAAGTTCTCCGCCTCTAGTAAAAAACTGGGTAATGGTGCATCGCGACCAAAGCCCGGAACCGATAATGCGAAGTGCTAGTACTAGTTCAAATTATGACAATGTTGAGCCACAGCCACAGTCGTCAAATCGGACACCAAAAATTAGATCTCCGATGCCGTTGGCAAAAATCACAGAATCAGTTGCGCAAAAATCATTTGATGGCAATCAAATAGCAAACAGAAATAGATTTCGACCATTAACAGCTAAAAATGCCATGAAATATTCGCAAAAATTTGACGAGACTGATACTCCAATATCTGATTCTGAATTACCCAGAATGCACGGTGTTAAATCATGGCGAACTCCAAGTCCTAAACCAGTTTTATTAAACAATCGGGTATCCAGAACCCGCAAATTAGCTCTAGATGGTCCAGCAAGTAATGGTAGATCCACCGATTCAGACAGCGGAGGATCTCCTAGACGTTCAAAAACTGTCGCGTTCAAACCTATGATACCTTTACGAGTGATGACACCTACATTTGAAGATATTGTCAAGCTACCGAGGCGCAACAGAACGCCGGCAAATGCTAAGAAAGACCTCACAATTTCCTTACCGGATCCCACAATTGAAATTGCAGAGGGAATTGAGACTAGACCAAAAGGCCGTAACTACTCGGCAATGAACAGACCTGCAACTCAAGGTCAAACCGAAGTTTATTTTAGAAGAAACCAAGGTCAACATTCAGCCAGGTCAAACACGATATCAGGTGACTTGAAAAAACCTGGCGGCAATTTTGAACAGTTGACAGGGTCGGGAACGTTCAATTCGTCGAAAGGTCACAGAGACGAATTAAACTCAAAAGAATCAATTCTTTACAGCTCACTTACCGACCTTCAGCAAACGAATAACGAAAACTCACCTCAAAGTTCAAGTTCGCCCGATCTTGGATGGAGATCTCAAACTAAAAATCCTGATTACAACATGCTTTTACAGAAAGTAGATAAAACGGCCAATCAGAATCAAGCTACTAATACTGTGAACGAATATGATGAAGATCTTCGGCCAAACAACTTTTCGGTTAAGTTGCAATATATTGTAATGCAAGAGAAAATAAACGGATGCAGTCCACTAATAGCAAGCGAAGAAAAATTGGTCGATTTTTTCGTCTCCACTCAAAATGGAGATCATTCCCTTTTAATGAGCAAGATAAAAATAAACAAGGACGGAGAGAACAGAACTTTTTTCAACTACCAGGTAAATCAACACTTTTATATAACAGTACTTTCTTGAGCTGAACACTAGATATTGCAAAAAAATATATCTATATATAGAAAAAAACTAGGTTTTCCAAAAATTTCAAAAAAATTATGTTTCTTGTCTTTCAATTACTCTTTGCTTTCCAGACACATGAAAAATCTCAAAAGATAAAGAGCTCCTCAAACAAAATTTCCTCAGGAACCATTTTCTAGAACCTCATAAGTGAGTATTTCAATGTGTACAGGTGCGACTGGGGAAGGTGAAGATCTCAGTTGAACTGTACCCTGTGCTGATCACATTCACATGGGTCACTCTGGGCAACCTGTGCAATGCCATCACTGGAGCAGCCATGACTCACAGACAACACAACCGCATATTCATCATACTTGACGCCAGGTAGCAAACACTTATATTATGAAAAAAACCGAAACAGCAAAAACAAAAATTAAGTACAACAAAAACAAACAAAGATAGTAAAGTAACATCATAATCGGCAAAAAAATATTTGTAAAAAGTTAATTTTCCCATATCTCTTTCCGGAAGATCCCTTGAAGATCTCTTTCCGGAAGATCCCTATTTTTAAACGATTTTTTTTCTGTTGAAATATTTAAAAAAACGGTTTTTTTAGCGTTTGGCTATCAATTTTTACAAAGATTCGCGCTCGACTGAGATTTCTAAAAAAAAGTGTCACTTTCTTCCTTTTTAGGAAAGAAGCCCACGTGAACTCATTCCGCACCTTCCTGGACAAAGTACTCGAGTACAAAGGTCACGTGTTCTACACGTACAAGTGCAGCTCCAAATACACGACAGTTAAAGACCTGATCAAAAAACATGCAGCCAGACTAGTTGCGAAAGACATTGAGAGCTGGTTCGTCTCTCAATTTCTTCAAAACCCTCTCGAAAACTTCCTTTACGCTGATATATGAATTTAGAAAAAAATGTTGTGTTTCGTTTTGATTGTGTCCAGCACCAGTTGAACGAAAAATTACAAACGGTTTTATGATCTCAATTAAAATACTATAGACAAAAAATCAAAAATGTATAGAGAAAATCGAAAATTAAGTTTTTGGGAAAAAATATCGAAGAGGAACCCATTTTTTTTTTCAGTTCAAAGCTCATGAAATCCTTGCAAACAGAAACATTTTCTTAATTGTATTTACAATCACTCATAGTTTTTCGTAGATCTCAATTTTTTAGCTCAAAATAAACCAGACTTAGCTACATGGGACCAGAAAAAATAAAGCTTTTAATCATGCTCCAGCCAATAAAAATTGTTCGGTCATTTATTCTGTCTACAGCTGGTGGTTGGATTAAAGACAATTTTTTAAATGATCTTCAAATATTGTAGTTTTGGTCCAACCTGGTTTGATTTGCGATTTATTGTAATAACTGTAATTTTCAGATTAGCTGTCATAATATTAGATATAAATGATATATGTTTTTCCAATTTTTGCTCTACAGTTGAAAATTACTTAATTAATGACTGTTTTGCAGCTCGCTTGCTTGTTTCTGATAGAAAAACATTTTTATTACTTGCTTCAGGGTATAAATCAAATATTAATCAACACAAGTTTAGATCTACTCTAAAGCCATTTTTGCGTTCACACAATAAAGGGGCGGCACACTTCACATTTAGTTCTGCAAATACCTCATAGAATAAAAAATGAGACTCCGAAGAAAATTAAATACCAAATCACAAGTTCTTAAATACCAAATCAAAACATATAAAACAATGGGTTTTTCCCTTCGACTTTACCAGAAACAATTATTGACAGAGAGGCGAAGCGCAGCTTCGCACCACTTGCGATATAACACAATCATAAAAAAGCATGCGTCGAAAAAATGATAAACGTTAAAAAAAAATAGTGAACCAAAAATTTCGTAAGTTTCGATGAAGGACACCTATGGCCCAATTAAAGCTGGAGGTACTTGTTTGAAAATTCTTGGGTTTGTTATACTTATGCGGGACGAAATGCGTAATCTCAAAACTTGGACTTTGCCCAAAACCTTAGTTTTTTCTCTAATAAAATAAGTAAGAACGGTAAAATTTTTTTAGATTTTTGAAATTTCCCAAAAACAATCTTTCTCTCATAAAAAAATAAGAACCAACCGTTTCTGCAGGAAAAATTCGTGCAACCACTTCTTTCGATTGAAATTTTCATCTCAGATTTAATAGGGTAGTTTTTATTGAATTTCAAAAAATTTCACAAAAACTGCCAAAGTTCAAATCCGTTATCCGTAACTTTTTTCTGCTAAAAGCAGGTTGTGGCCGGTAAAGTAGAGAAGATTCCAAAAATCAAGTTTCCCGATAGAAAATTTAACCTGAGAATCGGCATGATGTTTTCGAGTAGAGTCACCAAAAACGGTCAAAATTTCAAAACTTTCACTTGTTTGAAGGCCACAACTTTTTTCTAAAGAAAAATGGGCGTAAAAAATTACAAAGATAAGCATCCCATAACCTGCTGTGTCGATTAAACCTACGATATCAGATTTGGCAGGGCAGTTATCGACAAAAATCGAAAAATTGTTCAACAAATCAGAAAATTGACATTTCCGAGAATCATCGATTTTGTTTAAAACAATTGGGAGTAGCCGCTATGCAGAAGAATTTCAACCAAGCTGAAATTTCGATTGAACCCAAAAACCCAGGTTTAGCCGGGCAGTTCTCGAGAAAAGTCAAAAAGTTTCAAAACACGGTCAAAAAATCAAAACTTTGTTTTTTCCGAGGGCCATAATGTTTAAGCCCAAAAAATTGGTGCGTAGTCGCGTATTCAAAAGAGCTTACCATAAGCCGTTTTTTTGGACTGATTCCAAAATCTCAGATATGGGAAGTATTTTCCAGATAAATTCATAAAACTTAGAAACAAAACGCTCAAAAAATCAAAAAATTGAATTTTCCGCGGGCGATAACTTTTTGTGTAGAAAAATTGTGAGTCACTACCCCTTATTTCCAATTAACCAACAACCTCAGGTTTGGGCCGCTAGTTTTCGAGAAAAGTTAAAAAAGATTCAAGAACGATCAAACTTAACTATTCATAGGGCCCTAATTTTATGTGGAAAAATGTTTGGGCGTAGCCGTTTATGGCGTAGAGCTTTTCAAATCGGTTCTTTTCATTGAAACCAAAATCTCAGATTTGGTAGGTTAGTTTTTGAGAAAACGAAAAAAAAATCGCAAGCATCGGTCAATTATTCCCCCCACAGACTTTTCGAAGGCTGTAAACAAAAATGTAAAGCAAAACGAGACCACGGGAGCATGCAATAACACAACAACATTAGCGGTCTTTCTATGAATACCTCTTTTGGAAAATCGGCAGAAGTGTTTTTGAGAATGAAACTATTTTTTTATGCAAAAAGTGATAAAATTTTCCAAAGCGTCTCAAATAAAATAAAATAAAATAAAAAGCCCAATCCCATACACTTTCATATTACTTGCTTTTAGCGAACAGGATTTCTAGGGAAAAAAATGCCAGGCAAGACATTTCAAATTCAAATTAGCCACTGAACAAAAGTTACGAAGCGGAAACAAGGCCGACAATCTTTGAGGAGACATCACTTGAGCCAAAAAAAAAGATTTTGTAAACCCCCTGAAACTACCCTGTAGTAACTAAAACCCACACAGTAGCTAACTGTAGCTAAATTTGAACTTTCATGAAATTGAGCATGTCATGCATATGACATGCTCAATTTCATGAAAATCCAAATGTGATTCAACTGATTTTTTTTAAAAGTAGTTGTTAACCCGAAAAAAGTCTACATTCCGATTTGATAACGCTTGCTAATCGCAAGCGCAAATATTCATTCTGATCAACTTCTTTTTGACTAGTTTTTTTCATAATTGACTATTTTTACAAAGCAGAGAAATTTTTTTCAATACTTTGGAAATCCTCATAACAAGAATTCATTTTTGAAACCAAAAGCTTGGCTATTAGTCAGGCCGTTTAAACTCTTCTACTGCAAAGCGATTTTCATTTGAGTATATATGAGCTCACCCGGGTTGACCATCCAATAAAAAACTCCCCTCTCTTAGTATTTCTTATAGTAGGGAATTTCCGCTATCTAACAATTTTTTAATTTTTTTTAGTTCAAAAAATGCCAAAAACATTTCAATGTGTTTTTATACCGTAATTTTCGGTAAACACAACTTTGAAAAAATTTCATTTTTAGCTAATTATGCATGTGGTTTTAATTTATGCATTTCAAAAAAGTTCCGAAACAAAATGTTGAAATTTTTTTTCAAACATGTTTAGCGATTCGAAACTCTTTTCAAGACAATGAAACATCAACTTTGCCAAACCATCTCATTTAGCGTCAAACGTGTTGTATGTTGGGTTCAGATATTGTTTGGCAAATAATCTGTAAATAGCATTCAGCAAAAAGCTAACCTAACTCTAAAAATTAAAGGTTACTTCAGTAAACTCATGTGGCAAAATGCTAAACTCGGAGTTTTTGTAAAATAGAACTTTTAAACTGATTTAATTTTTGAAATGCCAAAAAATAATTTTGAAAATTTTTTGTAGAAAAAATCCCATCTTACAACTTTCTGGTGAAAATTTTTTATCTTACAATATTTTTATAAGAAAGGTTCCCTATTTTGTAACATTCTTAGAGCCTAATTTTCGGAGAAATAGAAATATTCTTATATGAAAAAATACGAGATAGCGATTTCCGGTCAACAGGAGAATATGGAATTTTAATGATAACTCCATGAACGAAATCTTCAAATAAACATCAAACGTCTCGAAGTTAAATTCCACTAGAAACCCATTTGTTTCCTCTTGAAAATGGAGAAAACCAAATAAAGAGCACATTATCTAAATGAAATAAAAATTAAAACTAGTACCTAAACAGCAGGGGTAGATTTAGAGTTTTCGAGCCCTCTTATAACACAATAAAGACCCTGTTGAAAAAAATTCTTAAATTTAGGAAGCGGTGATAAAGCGGACAAAAACTTGTTTCACTAGCTAATGAAGTACGTATAATGAAGCTATTAAGCCAATCAGGTTTATACCGTAAATCTTTAAGCCGAGTGTACAATCAGGTTTAAACCGAGTGAGCAAAAAGAAACAAAGAAAACGATAAATGGAAATTATACAGAACTGGAGTTAGTAAAATTAAAACAAACAGAAAAACAAATTTTGAATGGAATAGGTATTTGATACGCAGTCGTGATCAAACTATATCTTTTGGTTGCCGAAAAGGCAGATTTGAGAAAAATGATTCAGTGATTCTGATGAACAAATTGTTTACAGGAAAAAGTCCGAATTGAAAAATGTTCCAAAATGACAACGCTTGCAAATCTCAAACATCCTTATCGCATGCGTAGAAACTCTGAACACTTCAATGGACAGGTTAAAAAGCTACCCAAAAAAATTATAAAAAATCACTAAAATGCTAAAATTAATTTAAAATTTTTTAAAACAATAACTATAATTCCTGAGAAATTCTCACAAATTAACTATCTTCAATAATGGGGCTTAAGCTAAAAAATTCAGAAGAAAATGAGTACTGGAAATAACCGACAGAAATAAACAACAAACGATAGTCCGAAAAACTTTGTTTCGAACCACAAGCTTTAGTCGTTTCAAGCAGGTGTATTACCTCGGCGCCAGATACGCTGGACCTTTGATTGAATTCGAATTTTTAGACAAGTGCAAAGCAGAGCTTCGCACCACTTGCATTATAAAAATGAATGACTCTCACTAATTGCAGACGAACCGACAAATCGAACAACCAAAACATAAAATTTTTCCAAAAAATAATACTAGAATTGCAAAAAGATTCAAAATCTTGGAAATTAATAAACGGCACCTTTCGAAATTCGTTAACAGCATAAATATTTGCCTCATTGTTAGAATTAAAAACTTTTTTTACTAACCTCAAGCAGCGGTAGTCTAGCATTAGCGCCGCCTCCCTCTTCGCCCTCAGTTGGCACCTTGCTCCCGTCCATACTCTTGTAGTAGTCCTTCAACACCTTCAGAGTGTCATAGAACTTATCAAGTTCAATCTGCATCAGAGTTATGTAATCATTAGTCAGGACTCCTAGACGATCAGGAAGCCACCCGTCGCTCATGATCATCTTCCGCTCCGCTTCCGCGCTTTGTTTTCTCTTATCCGAAATGTCCCATAGGAGCTCCTGAAGAGCGAATACTTTAGTATGCCACTCCGATTTGATCTCTTCGTCGTTTCGGACATCGTCGGGAACCAAGTTGAACTCCTCCTGGAGCTGAGATACATGAGCTTGTTTCTCATCCGGTCGCATCAAGTATGTCTTGAAGTCCTCCCGAACTTGGTGCAAGTAGAGGATGCTGAGTTCGCGGGACTCTCGGATGTTCTTGAAAGTGACTTGGAGTCCCTTGACATAAGTGTCTTCGATGAACTCCCATTGAGGAGCGAGGATCTCTGCAACCTCCTGGAACAAAATTGAATTCAAATATTTAAAATTTTAACCTCATATAATCAGAAAAGTGAAAAAAAAATCAAGTTCAGTATAAAAAATCAGCTAGACAAAATTAGTTAAAAAAACAATGGATAAATCCATCTAATGGTGAAAAAATTGATAGCACTAAAAACTAAAATGAATCCAATAGAAATTTCAATATACGCTCTCATTTTAAATTTGACAATTGACAGTTTGCCAAAAGTTGCCCAAGAAATGGGAATTTGTTTGGTACGTCTAAAAATAGATCAGAGTCTATGAAGTTACTGAAAGATATCTCCAAAGTTTGCATACCAAGTCCACAGGTTCCTTGACGCATTCCCAGTCATCATCCCCAGGCTGTGCGGGCGGAGGAGGTTCCGGGGCTCCTGCTGTCTCCCCGTCCCCTGCTGGTGGTGCTGGTTGAGGCACTGGCACTTCTGCTGGACTGGGACTCCGTTTAGTACCCTTGCCTTTGCCCTTGCCAGACGCAGACCGCTTGGAGTCAGAACCTGGAAAAGATGACTCACAAATCAAATCAAATAAATTCCTTGATGTGGCTATTTGATTGGTTATGGCAGCTTTAAAGAATCCATTGCTATCATATGAATAGTCTTCTAAAAGAGGGATGTAGAAATTACTATGATACTGAGATGACAAAATAAAATGAATTTTCAGACACAGCTTTCTGGAAAATGAGCGGTCAGTTATGGACCCATGCACAATAATTCTAAGATTTTAGATTCAAAAAGTATTAAGTTCATCGCCTCGTACTTTACATCGTAACATCGCGGCATTCATGTTGATAGGCATGATGCATTTTATAACGAAACTAAGAGATGTACAAAATGTTATTATTTGAACATCTTCGAATCAAAGAACAGTAAACAACAATACATTGTTGGAATCTGAAACCACTGAAAACAAACATAGCTCGGCGATTTCGCCCAGTCAACTGAAATATTGTTCAGAGTTCTTTGGTCAATTAATTTTCTTATTTCAGTCATTGTCTCTCGAATCATATATTTAATTTTCTATAAGATTTTTTTTTACATCAAAATGCATTTTTCGGTGAATATCATTCCAATGGTTTCTAAAACCTAAATAAAAAAATTTTAATTTTCGTATCGACAATAAGATTTCTGCAAAACTTTGAAATTTAGTTAGGAAAAGAAATAATAACAAAGTTTGTCTGGACATGGAGTACAATTTATCCAGTAGCAAGAAGCAGTCTAAGATTTCTGGCAGGTCTTTCGTGGGCATCGCGGTGGCACTCGCGGACGCTGCCGCCCAAACAGGAGTCATTATGCAAGTGAGTTGATTGGTAAAGTTTCATTTGTATCACAATTTGCGAAAAAATTAAAAAACAATATAAATTTCGTCAAAAAATAATTTCATAGCAAAAATGGTTCCAAAATAGCTATGCGAAATGATCTATTTTACCAGCATAACTCAAATCGGACTACCTCAATTTTTTTTATTATGCTAACAAGCCCAAATTGTTTTCTCTATGCGGCAGCTAAAATTATTTGCAGGAAGCGAGATCCTATTGAATTGTCTTACCCCCTGCCATTCAAGTAAAACTTTACCGTCTTTTCCATTGCAGCTTGACCCCCAATAAATTATAAACCTCCCAAATAATAACAAAATTCTTGGCGGGGGGGCTTTAATTTTTTGTTACTAAGCTGAGGGGCTATAATGAGAAAGAACCAATTTCACTGTGACTTGACCATGTAATAAATTGTTTCCAGCATAAGTCCACATTCATCACATTAATTTGTATAAATAACCATCATAAAAACACAATTTGGGAGATCGCCATTGGACAAAATATGTCTGATTTCAGAAGACTTTGACCATTTCTCTGTTTTTCAGTTCTACTATGGAAACATGTTTCCCTTCTATATCTACAGATACACCTATCAGTCCTCCTCTGCCGAGATGGTGTCCTACTCCGTCTTCAGATCCCTCTTCCTTTTCCTCGTCTCCATTCTCACTCTCGCAGACTCCCAGGAGTATCCGAAGAGGTTCCGAGAGCTGAACCACTTTGTACTCATCATTAATGGCGTCTTGGCTATTTCAGTTGTGGCGAAGATCTTGGTGTTCTACGGGTCGGCAGCATATGTTTCGGTAAGACCCTAATTACCTTTCGAGTAGCCTTGAACTTTGAACAAACCGACAGCAGATACGAGGACAAAGTTTCTTTTGCTTTTATTCCTAAACTACTTGTATTAATGGGCTTTTTTTGAGAAATTTTGGCACAAATCGAAACTGCAAGACAAAAAAATGGCATTAACACTTTAAACGAACGATTATGATGAGCCACACACTTTGATACCTAATGTTTGACAGTGAGAATAAATTGTGAATAACAAAAGTTTCGAATTATATTGTGTATACTGAATCATGATAATTTCAGTGGCTATTCTGGGAGAGCTGTGTCGTGTGTGTGTCATTCTCAGTTATTCACCCAATTACATGGCGATATGTGACCAACATAGACAAGGCACAAGAGAAGAAGAAGCAGAATGCAGACCAGCTCAGAAGGTCTTCTATGGACAGGGCCATGACTCTCATCGACGACAGCAGGACTGCCAGTTTCGCCGATAGTGGCCGAATGAGTTTCGCAGAAATACGAAGCGCAAAGGTAGGGGAAATACAAATAAAAAACCAGCAGAGTATAAACCAACCAAACTCCGCAGAGTATATAAACCAGCCCAAAAGTTACATCATTTGAATGAAATTTGCGTAACTTTCGTAACTGTTACATAGTTGTTACATAATATTACATAACAATTACGCATTTTCAGCTGGTTGATACTTCGGCTGTTTTATATTTTGGCTGGTTTATATACCACAAACTAGATACTTTAAAAAAAAACGACGAATATTTTTCATCCCACTAAAGTTGAAACAAAAAAAATTCAAAGTTGGTTTAAAATAAAAAAAACAAGACTGCTCGCATCAGGACAAAACCTTGAATGTTCTGACAGCCCTTTAACTGGTCTCGGATAATTTGGTAAATGAAAATTTTGGCAAAACTTCGAATTTTAGGCTGACAATATTAAAAATTAAGTGTTGCAATGTGAATCGTGTACGGAAGATTAAAAAAACCAAGTAGCTGCCTCAATTCAATTCGGAACGACTTTGTAGTGCAGGATAATAAAGCAAGCAGTTTAAGCCATACTTATGACAGGTTACTATAGTGGTGCGCACACTCAGCTGGCCAAATTCAGATCAAGCGATCAGTTTCCCGAGGGACAAGGGCTAGTAGAAGTAGTCTGAATAAAAATAACCACCCCGAGCATATATATTCCTCACTTTTTTTCGAAAGTCAGAACAAAAACATCGTTGAAATAGGAGATTTTTTTAACGTTTTGTCAAATTTTGCCAGTACTCTACATATGTTGCTCAATTAAATATCTAAAACTTCTCCAAAAACAACAGAAATTATTTAAAGCAGAGCAATGAAACAATTAAGTCGTTTCAGTAAGTCATTGATTGAATACTGGAACAGCATCAGGAACGCTCCCTTGTTCTTCTTCTGTTTCCTTTGATTGTTCCGACAAAATTTTAGCATGTTTAAAGACTTGTCTCTGGATTCCAGAGACCTACCAACGCACCAAATTGTGCCACTATCCCGTGCACAGCTTGGCCTCGTAACGAAAAAGGACATGTCACATGACATGTAATTTTTGAATGGTCGTTTTACACGACTGGAAAAACTAAGTCTATTAAGCAAGGTGGGAACATGTAGGTGGAAAAACTGCTGAAGAAGAAGGAAAACTGGGAGTTCTTCAAAGCCAAGAAACTGGTCGACCTCAGTTGGTCAGGCACCCTGCTGTTTCTCATTGGCTTCTTCAGTTCAGTGGCCTCGGGAATTGTGGAGATTTTTATCCCCTACTGTCAGGCGAAAATTGTGGGAATTGTGGTATCAACAAGTGAGAACTTAGATTTAAAATTAGCCCTTTTTTCAGCAAAAACTAGATTGATTCAATAACTAACTAACAGAACAAAAAATCAAAATTAAAACTAGAAAAAGTAGAAAAATTAAGATTCATTAAAGCGGTAGCATGTTATACTCGAGCAAAAACTACAACATAGAGCGTTGACTTTAAATAATTCAGCAATCGCTTTTCTGTTCAAGGGTCCAATGAATAAGCTTGATATTTAAACTACTCACTTCGATTTAAATAGATGTATTAGAGTTATTCCAAACATTAGGGCCTTTAGACTTGAACGTGAGTGGGGTTAATCCGAAGTACGTTCACTTCGTGATAGCGGTGGGACTGCTGATGCTGGCCAAGAGTGTCCTCATACTTCTGAGCAGCGCATTCCTCTCCAGAGCCAAGGACAGGCTGGAGTACAAGATACAAAGTGTACTCTTCAGCAAACTACTTCTCGTAAGTCTACTTAGAAACCTATAACAACGTCTGCCGAAAAGCTAAACAGGCTTTGAAAGCGTTCTGTTTTTGATCTACTTAATTAATTCTGTTTTTAATTCAATTAATTAAATGAACCACCTATTCAGACACTGCACCACGCATAGAAAAATAGTACAAAAACGGTTGAAAAAAAAAATGATCGAAAACTTTGCTTTGATTGTTGAGTCAATTTGTTTTGCCGCTTCGCAGGAGAAACAAAAGTTTCATGAAAACTTTTGCCTGTAAAAATCGGGGAAAAAAATAAAATTGGAAAAATGATCAAACAAACTATTAAAAACATTCGTGTGGATTCCTGAGTACGATGAGATTTCTTTGTTAGTGCTGAGTGTGCTTTAGGAGAAGCAGCCGTTCTTTGACAGGAGGAGCAACGAGAGCATCATGCAGAGGATCACGGGGGATGTGGAGAGCACTGCCTCCATCATCACCCACTCCTTCACCACCTTCGTCAGGTGCACAGTGAAGAGCATCGTCGTCTTCATGTTCCTCGTCGTATCCGTATGGTAAACACACTTCTCATTCTTCGTCTTTACTTACTTTTTGCCATTATTTTCCCCTTTTTCCGCCTTTCTTCATGTGTCTTATATCATGAGGCACTTCCACATTTTGAACAGGATAGCGCTATTTTCGCGCCTCATCCGTTACATCCTGGTTCCCTTGACATCACTTCAAAACCCGAAGAGACAGTGCTCCCCTTGGTCTGTCAAAATCAAGATTTAATTACAGAGCCCCATCAAATATTTGGCCGCCCAGTGGCTTTCAACACACGCCGAATTCTTGATTTTTATGTGGTCTTTAAGGGCTTTGCTGGCCGAAGCGATTTCTGGCCGAAGCGATTCCTTTAGTCCATGAAATATTTTCGAGTTACATCTTTTATTTCGGATCCACCTTCACGAACTTTCGCCAAATTATAGCAACAATTAAAGCCCATATAGAAACCTGCTCATTTGGAAAATGCTCGACTGTATATTGAAATGAAGTGTGATTGTATAAGTCTTCCCAAAAATCCGTCTTTTGTTTCCAGTTGGGAGTTGTCATTTGTGATGTTGTGTGCGGTGCCTGTGCTTATTTATATCACCATCAACTACACGTACAAAGTGAACGAATTGAGGGAGGAGATAGACGTCAACATCGACGATGGATTCGAACAAGTCTCAGAGTGCTTCAGGTACTACAATGTTAAGAGTTCGAAAAAACTACAAAAAGACATGAAAGTAATACGATAGAGAAAACTATAGATAGAAGTTCTAAGAAAACTTAGGCAGCCACGCCCAATGGAACTTTTCCTTCAAGTCGCAAAATTTGCATAAAACAATTAAAAGGACAACCGAATTGATAGGACTCAAAGTTTCACAAGGTTCAAGACAAAAACTAGACCCACGATAACTTGAACTCAACTATTAATTTAGTCTAAAATTAAAATCATTCCTTAGTTTTTAAGGAACAGAAGCAAAGAATCATTGAATCACAATCAGCTCGTGTTGCAATGATAATTCGAAGAAGTTAAAATTTTGCCTGTTTTCAAGGAAGATAAAGACTTTGAAGCAGTTCCGCACTGAGAAGTTGGAGTCTGGTCTGTTCACGAGGCGTCTCAAGGACATCGACAGACACAAGAAGAGTCTCAGCTACAGAATAGGACTATTCAAGGGATCTCTCAGTTTCATACAGGTAGTCATTATAGATATTAGTCTAATGCCCCTCCCACAATTCTTTTGAAAAAAAACCGATTTCTTTCAAATGGAAAAACCAGATCAAATTGAGAGAACTGTTTTTACGTGATAGTAACTTGAACAAAAAATTGAACAAAAAGTATATAAAAGTTAAACAAGCAAGAGCCGTCGATAGACCTCAAAATGAAAGACAATTTTTTGAGATAAACGCCAGGCTTATTTTTGTCCATTTGAAACACAATTCCCATCATTATGCTTGCCTTTTTTGTAAACCCCCAGTCTTGCGCGATGGGAAGGGGTGATGTCATCAATTTTGCCGCAGCGGTCCTTTGCTTCTAATGATGATTTGTTTAGTATTGAGCGGAGAAAGCGAAGACTACTACGACTCACTTGCACAATAATCTGTCAAAAACCTTGAAGAAGTAAGCAGTTGTTTAAAATCCGAGTAAAAGTTCTTTTTCCCCTGCTCTAGGTTGCCCTTCTGTTCACTATCCTGGTGTATGGTGGCCATCTGGTGATGAATGACCTCGTGGACGGAGAGTCCTTCCTCATTTTCCTCTTCATGCACCCGGACATGATAGAGGGCATAGAGGAGATAGGACGCACATTCACAGAAATAGTACAGAGCTACTTGTGGGTGAGGAGAATATTACATTCAATCAGCACAGTACAGCTTTCATTTTTTGGAACTAGAAACAAAACCGCACTAGTTTTCTATTCTGTACACAGTTTTCTAATCTCATTTTGGACTTCAGACGCAACTAATATAAAACCTCCAGTAATTTCAGAAAACTTCAGCTATAGTTTGATACCCACTCACGGTTTTTTTCGCGGTTAAGTGACTATTTGAGCAATTTCAGCCTGCATTTTTGCTTGTGAAAACCCAAAATTTATCTTATAACAGAAGAAAAAACGTGACAAAAGCGTGGAAAATGGAAAAAAAACGTGAAAAAACGTGGCAACGGCGTGAACAAAAAACGTTACTGAGGCGTGAAACATTTTGTAGCCTATTTAAGGCCATGCGTCTCATGGACACGCTGAACAAACTATACAACAGCGAAGAAGAGAGGAAGAAGGAGGAGAAAGTGGACCAGAGAGGGGGCTGCAGACCCCGGGGAGGAGGAGGAGACAAGAGGAGAGGAGGAGGAAACAGCAGAGTGGGGCAGTGGGGAATAGGGGAGATAAGCGACAGGGCGACCGTAAGACGCCTGAGAGGCGACGGAGATATTGAGCTACAAATAAGAAAGCGAAGAACTTGGGTAACCGCTTCTATTGTTAAGTTTCTATTACATAACACGCAAGGGCAAAATATATCAAATTGATTCCTTGGATGTGGCGAAGAACGGTCAGAAATCATGAATTGAACAAAATTTAAGTTTCAAAAATAGACATACAGAAACAAGGATAGCCGATTGCTGTATAAATAACACAGAATGTTCCGATCATATTCGTAAAAAACTTCAAAAAACGGTTTCTTCTTTTGTTTTCTTCAAATTAGTGTCATTTTAGCGAGTAGTGTGATTTGAGAACTATACAAACGCATGATAGGTTAGTGATTCAGGCAAGATCGACAGCATTTTTCATCAACAAATTAGTTATAAGCAAAAAATGAAAGAAAAAATGGTCATAATTTTTGTACAATTGCTAATATATTTTTTTTGAAGATCTTTAAATAAGCGTTGAATGAAACATCTAATCTTCTTGATAGCTAAATCAACTTTTGTGAGCCTAAAAGAGTTTTAAAAGTAGTAAATTTCCAGATAACGAAAATTACTCGATCGCATTACTCGCTCGAAATTGAACGAAATTGAACTCAAAAAAGTAAAACCCGTTTTTCTAGACGCTAGGACAATTTTTTGAACTTTTTCAAAATTCGCTCGAATAACGGCTGATAGGGCTTCAATTTTGTACATCACTCGACTGTTTCCGATGATTAGTTGTGGTACCTGATTTTGCGTAAAAAAAAACTAAAACACAACCGAATACAAAGTTCCTCCCCATTTTCAACGGTCGGAAAAAAAATTTAGCAAAAAAAACAAGGATATCCGGCTACTGAGCAAGTTGCACAGAATGTTCCAACCATAGTCTTAAAAATAAGAAATTTTTTTTTAAAATAGTGTCGTTTTTTTTCTGTGTGGTGTGATAAAAAAAACCTGAATGAAAAATAGAAATAAAGCAAATGCGACAGTCATAGTCAAATAGGCCAATTGGAAAAACTTTTTGCAGAAAAATAGCAAGAGAAACGAAAAAAAAATGTAATAACAATTTTAAAATTTTTTGTATGTTTTTTGCAGAAATTTTTTGAAGTTTTGATTCGCAAAATGGCGCTAAAAACTCCAAAAATTAACTTTACTCGAGAAAAACTAAGTTTAAAAAAGCTATTGTGAGCCTGCATGCTCACCCTATTAGCTCGAAATTAGACCAAAAAGCAAAATTTCAAACCGATTTTTCTCGACACTAAAAAAATTTTGGGAACTTTTTAATGTGGTTCGAATCACGACTGGAGGTAAAACTAAATTGGAAACTAAATTTCAGAACTAAATCGGAGCTCAGGAAATCTTCAGGAAAGTTAAAAACGTTCAATATTATACAAATAAGAGAAAATTTCGCATAACTTGAAATTAATCAATAAGCGTTAAAAAACTGCTGTGATAATTATGATGAAATGAATCTATACATTCAGACTAATAAAAAGGTAAGCTAGTTGAACGCAGTGATTAAGTTCAATATCTCGTAAAAGCTGTTGCCCAATGAGCAACGTCTGCAGATCAGCCCCACCCTCCACAGACCAGAAGAGGTCAGGGGGTCAATCACATTCGAGAACGTGCAGTTCGCATACAGGGTCAATAAGCCGAAAGGAGGAAACAGCAGTAACACCAGTATTAAACTGAACAGTGGGGAGAGCTCTAATGTGCTGCAGGATATATCGTTCTCTGTCGAACCAGGACAGGTAAATAATGATGCCCTGTTTAAACATAAAATTTGCTCAGGCTAAAAACCTACAGACGCTTTAGAAACGCCTTTTCAAGGCCAAATTACCATTACTAATTGACGAGACTGAAATATTGAACAGAAAAATCTTCTGAAGTAGTTGAATAAAAGACAATTTCAAATAACATATGTGATACGAAAACTTCTAATAGATTTGTTCTCTTTAAGGGTCTATTAGAATCGGCGGAAGTCTGCAATATGCCAATATGCATCAATTTCATGGAAATTTGAGACCGACTGAATACTAATCAATTAGTTTATTAATATTCGACCTTAATCAAAATAATCAAATCAGTTAATTTCTTTGTGAACATCACGGATTCCCAAAACTTCAGGTGGTGGCGCTGGTAGGTCGAAGTGGCTGTGGAAAATCAACCTGTCTGAGACTTCTATCTAGAATGTACGAGCCCAACTTCGGTCAGATTCTGCTGGACGGACGTTCGATCCAAGACTACGAGTCTGGCTTCTTCCACCAGCAGGTGGTGCATGTAAGCAGTGAAGTGGAACTACTCAATAGGTCCATTAAGGAGAATGTCCAGTATGGCATAATGGGCGCCAGCGAGATCGGTAAGGCACAGAGGAAGAAAACTCTTGTTGTTCCGACTTTCGTAACGAAAGTAACGGAATATTTGTGCTCGGGGTGGGTTTTTTTTTCTTCAGACAAATTTCGACATTTTAACTAGCCATTTTTGACCGAATTTTTTATCACCATTCGAAAACTATTCTTGTCCTGAGCTTAAAATTGAAAAGAATATTCACCTGTGATCATTTTTCGTAAAGTTATGAGGGTTTAAAGATTGCCATTTTGGCCAATTTGGGACAATTACCGCGCGATATATTTCGCGCTATAACGCGTATGCGAGATTTAATCCGTCTTAGAAATCGTTCCAAATTGGTTCAAGATTGAATGTCATAATTGATTTGTTAATAGAAGCAAAATCTATCACTTTGAACTTAATATGGCGTGTGGGAGAATGTTTTCACAAAAAATCTCTAACTTTTTAGAAAAAAAAATGTTAATTTTATTTTATCACATTTAAAGTTTCCATGTTATTACAGCTCCATAGACCTCAAAAGGCAATCGGAACATTCAGGGCTTCGCCCTGATACGAGCAGTCTTGTTAAAAATTTCTACCCGAAACCCATAATAGGAACCTTAGGCATGACTCAACTGCTTGAAATAAATTTTAAGGAAAACGTTTTGGAATTGATATAGCTAAATTACAAGGCATTGGAATTGGAAAGCAACTCTGGCCTAGCGTGGATTGTTTTACACAACCTAAATGCTCCAAAAAAGCTTACAGCTCCTGAAAAAACTGAAATCCAAAGTTTTCGGTTACCAAATGTTTTTTTTTTAACATTAGGGTCATAAATTAATCTAATAATACATCAAACAGATGAGGGTAAAATTAAACCGGTAAAATAGGGCTGAAACGCTTACGAAATCGATAACACACGCCGGATCAATATACAACTTTCCAGCTGTTCTTAATGTTTTACTGGATGCTTTCCAGATCTGATGAAGGCGGCGGAGGACAGCAATGCGAAGCCGTATTTGGAGGAGTTCTACTCTGCGTGGGAGGAGACCAAAGTGGCCCACAAGGTCAACTCCAACAAGGAACACAAACTACTCCTGGGAAGGGCACTCATCAGAAAACCGCAGGTATCACCACATTTTTAACACCTTTTCGCGTAAACATTGACACGACTTTTTGAGGACTCAACTTCATTATGTCAAAGGAAACCTACCCGTTTTCTGCGGCATCTAAACGTTTATTACTATTGCCTACACAGCGCCGTAATTTTGAATTCAAAACATCGAATCTTAGAACAAAAAAAATTGCCACCGTTATATATTTTAGAACAAAGTCTCTGTTTATTATAGGTGGTGTTGATTGATGAAGTGGCTATGAGATTGGACGCTGAAATTGAAGAACTATTTGAGAAACAGCTTCTCAGGAGCTCCAGGAGTGACAGCGTGTCAGACATCAACACAATCAAAAATGGGTGAGAAGAAAATAACCAGGTTCTTGGAAATCCTTATTCCTAACTCGGATAGCCAGATGCTTTGCAACTTCGAAAATAACTAAAAGAATAAAGCTAGCGCTGAAAAAGCAACAATAAAATGTGAAATAAGCATCGAAAGAAAATTTACGGTAAAAAAGCTATAAAATACTTGAGCAGAAAGCTTTTAATTCGAAAAAAAATTTTTAAAAAAATAAAGAGCCGGTCGCTTTGCAAGTAGCACAGAATTTTCCGATCACATTCATAAGAACCGCAAATAAAAATTCTTCAAACTGTTAAGTTCTTTATATTAGTGTCGTTTTTTGTATGTGCTGTGATGACAAAACAAAACAGAAGCGTATAAAGTTAGTAAATTAGGCATACTCGACAATCCTTGTCTCCAAAAAAAAGAATAAAAAACAAAAAATGAAAAAAAAATTCAATTTTTTTTCTATTTTTGAACACAACTTTTTAATCCACCAATAGGGACACAAAAAAATTCAATCAAACGACGAAGGATGAGGTCACTAAGCCGATATAATATAGGCAAAACTTAATAAACCGAAAACAAAGAAGGAAAGGAACAACATAGCCAACAGATAGTTGGCAAAGAGTCATGAACACAACGAAACAGAAAAACACTGACTTGATTTTTGAAAAACTGCGAATTTCAAAGAAAAAATTATACGACCTTGAGGCTCCTTAAGCTTCAAAAACAATTTTTTCGACACTTTTTTTGATAAAATCAATTCAATTTGAGAAAACTGAATCAATAGGTAAATTTTTTTATTCCGCTGGGAAATCTGAAAATTTAAATCAAGTTTCGAAACTAGAAGCCGGTCAAGTTTTTCAAGACCTCTAACTTTTTTCTATTCGATAGTTTCGTATGCATTCTTTTTAGCAAAAGAAATGATGTTAAAAAAATCAAAATTCAAACCGCGAAAAACCAAATCTTAGTGTGAATAAATTTAAAGACTTTTTTCTGAGAAAAAAATTATTTAAAAAAAATCACTAAAGCCTGTATGAAAGTATTTGATACGTTCAAAGCCACTTAAAAAAAGGAGAAATTTTAACAAATCGTGTTGGTAAAATTAAAACCATCATCAAAAGCTTATTTCGAAAATGACGGATATTTAAAATACTAACACGCTCAAAATATGTCTGTTGGAGTCTTTCTATCAGACAAGTTTAGTAGATGAGTCATGCGAGCAAATTTTTTTACGGAAAAAAGTCTAGTACTCGGTTGCAACGCAATTTCTATAGCAAGTTTAATTTTTTAAGTTTTCTCTAAGGTACCTAAAATCGGATGGAACTATTGGTACGCAATAGTTCCATCCAGTCACATGGTGACAGGGTCGGAACAATCAGACTCGGTTAGTCAGTTTCAAATATTTTTTAGTAAAAAAAATCAGTTGACCCCTATTATACCGTACACCATCTCGGGGTGGCAAGTAATTATGGCCTAGGGTACGCAACATCCGGTACCTCAAAGAACGCTCGTAGGTCATCGATTGCAGTATCATATTTAAGCCTTTTCAATTGCAATTCGGATTTCAAAAAACCATTGGAAAAAATTGTCTCAAATTTTTACAAAAACAGGGTTGAGTTTTGGTCTCACGAAATTTGATGATACTAAACTTGCTAAAAGTAAGTTTGATGACGCCCAATTTAGTTCTGATTTAATTTCATTTCTGATTTTCTGCTTTTAACTTAAACCATTGAGGTCGGAACTTTCCGAGCTCCTGGCACAGCGACCGGCTCTCCTTGTTTCTTAATATTTTTGTTCAGGACGTTCTTTGCAGATTTATGGATGATATTTACTTTACCTTCTGTGACATCAGATGGAAAATAATGTTTCAAGCCTAACTTTTTTGGAAACTTGAATTTTTCAAAAAAAAAAACTGCTTTTCTTGAAAAACACGTTGCGGCACAACGAGTGGGAACAAATTTGTTTATTCGGTGGCCTGAAAAACATCAATTTGAGCGCCCAAAATACGATAATCTCAGAAATCTTCTAGCGTTAAAAAGATCCAATTTATGATTTCAGCTACCACCCTACCATCATGATCATAGCACACAAGTTGAGCACCATTCAAAAGTCAGACAAGATCATAGTGTTGGACAACGGCAGAGTAGTGGGGGAGGGAACGCACGAAGAGCTGATTGGGAAGTGCAGCGTTTACCTGGAGATAGTGCGGAAACAACTGAATATGATCCACAGTACAGAAAGGAGGAAAAAGTATAGCAGTAAAATGCAACCGCAGCTGAGCAGATCGAAGAGCAGCTTCAAGTCACAGTCCAGTCCTATTAAACACCTTTAGAGTCCAACTGTCAGAGTGAAATCCGAGCAAAATTAAACGGAGATCCAAAAAAATTTAACGAAAGCGAAAGGAAGTCGAAATTTCTCCTGTTTATAAATTGAACAAAAACTCTAAAGATTAGTTTCTCAGCGCATAAGCGTTCATTTTGGGAATTATAGTTTAGCCTTCAAAATTATTGTAAAAACTCCCTGAAACATAACATTAATGGTAGAAACTTATAAAAACGTCACCATCGACTTACAACAAATATCTGCGTAAAAAAAATCTGCGTTTACGTTAAAGGTAGAAATGTGTAAACATGTGATATTGCCTGAAGAAATATCGATTGAAAATGACGCGCGCATTTGACGGTGTTTGTGATTGACTTAGGAGAATGTAAATTTTAAAGTATTATATAGCTGCCATGAAAAAACGGGGCACCCGCTCAGGGGCAAAAGAACGAATGATAAGCGAAAACTTTGTCAGCCAATCAAAATTCAGTATTCAAAAATTCGAAAGAAATAAGCGATAAACATAAGACAGTTTTGAACAATTTGATTGGCTGAAAATTTGCGCGCATTCGGTCCTTTGCGCGTGAGAATAGGCCGAAGATCGATTAGCAACAAATATGAAACAATTGATGACGCCGACTGCCGCTTTCAAAAACCTTTTTTGCCCATCGTATTGTTACTCGAAGTAGTTTGCCCTGTAGAAGCCACAGTCGATTTATCTCCAAGTCCCCCCATACCCCCCGTAGCACCCGCATTAGGGGGTGCATTATTTGTTCCACCCGGTGCATTAGCCCCGCCCCCAGCTGTTACTTGACTGGCAGCTCGGCTAGAAACACTATTAGCCGCAGCTGCTAAAGCCGCCGCATTTGTCGGATTAGCAGGTCCGCCTGCTTGAGAGGCGGTGTTTAAACCCGCCTTTGCAAGGGTTGTTTTGCCCAAAGATTGCTGCAGGGCTTTAGCTCCAGTTTTGTTTGGGGCATTTGTGGACATTGAAGTGCCAGGCGCGGCCGGCGGAGGAACAGCTGCTATTTTTGATGAAATTGATCAAAATTTACAAAAATACCAAGTTTTCAACTAATGAAAATCAAAACGGAACAAAGTGTTAGAAAACACAAATTACAAATTATATTGATGGTAAGTGGCATGAAAGATAGTTTAATAAAATTAAAAGTGAGTCAATTACAACAAAAACAATTCCAAAAAGATCTTGGAACCACATAAAAGGATGTTTAACTTCTACAAGTCGAGTTACCTGAGTCTGGATCTTGAAGGATTACTGCCATTTTAGACGAAACGCCTGTTTTCCCTACAAAATCATCAGTCGTGACTTGAAAATACTTGACCCTAACTAACCTGCTTATCGAGAAAACAGCAGTATGAACGTGATTTAAGAAATATAATTGAAGTTAGATACTAAATAAGTTTAAAACTTAAGCTTAAAGAAAATACAAAAACTGGTCAATCAGCAAATAAAGCATAAGAAAGACCAATTCACTAACTTTAGAAGTTACTTATTAACTCTCTAAACTTCATCTAAAATTCGATTAATAAGTATCCGAACAAACAAGAAAAAACAACTCACTGCCTCGTTTGGACTTGGGACTTCCCCCTCTGCTCTTGCCCCCCTCACTCCCCACACTTCCCTCTCTGTCTCCGCCCTTGCCCCCTTTGCCCGTCTTCTGAGACGCTCCCCGTCCTTTGGGGGAGGCAGATCCACGGGGGGACTTCTTGCCCTTCCGGCTGGCCTTCTTGCTGTCCGGTTCGGCTGCGGTGTCTTTGTCAGATCCAGCGGGAGTGCTAGGTTGCGCTTCCGTTGGCTGAAAAAGTAACGGTTGAAGACCAATTCTTAAGTCAAGGCTTTAAAAAAATCAAGTCAAAGTTAAATAAATTGGAAGCGCCAAAAACATAGGATTATGTACTCAAGATTCATGTGCAATAATGACTTTAAAAAGCTCCACATAACTGCTGGACAGACATAAGCACAGGATTCAAATGGATTAATAATCAATTCATTACGGGGCCAAACTGTGCACTGGATAGGCGTACAATTTTGTTCCCAATTAAAAATTAACGGCCGACGGATGTATAGATAATGCAAGAAAACAAGACTGCTCGTATCAGGGCGAAGCCCTGAATGTTCCGATTGCCTTTTAAGGTTTATGGAGCAGCAGTAATAACATAAAAAATTAAATGAACTAAAATAAAATGAAAATTTTTTTCTCTAAAATTTGAAATTTTTTAAGAAAATCATCCCCCCACACGCCATATAAAGTACAAAAAGATAGATTTCTTTCCTTGTAACAAATCAATTATGGCAAATAAGCTTCGTTCAACCAATTTGGAACGATTTATAAGACTGATTAAATCTCCGCTTACGCGTTAATAGCGCGAATTATATCGCGCGCTAATTGTCCCAAATTGGTCAAAATGGCAATATTTAAACCCTCATAACTTTACGAAAAATAATCACAGGTGAAATATCTTTTCAAATTTAAGCTCAGGACAACAATACCGTTTGAATGATATAAAAAAAATCCGTCAAAAATTGCTAGTTAAAAAGTCGAAATTTGTCTGAAGAAAAAAAAACCCACCCCGAGTACAAATATTCCGTTACTTTCATATCGAAAGTCGGAACAACAACTCTCGTATCAGAGCAAATTTCCACAAATAACGATCGTCCTTCCATATAAAAACATGTTTTATATACACAAAATTACTAAATGATGAAGCCGATCTCGCCTCGGAAATTATTTGGAACAGTTTTATCAATTATTTTGGATTAGTTAGAGTATTATAACCAATGTTAACCTCGCCGCGAAGAGCGATTGGCTTCTCTGCGTACTAGAAACGTTTGTTCACAAAAATTGATGAAATAGTTTTCCGTTTTGCTAGACAATTTTCTTCAAAAACGCACATAAAATTACTTCTTTTTTTGTTTGTATATTTTTATATGCCCTAGGCAGTGAAAAATTAATTACAAATTTCAAATATGAAATATAATCAAAAGACAGGTCAATAAAAGCATGGAAATACTGAGTAAATACAGATTTGTTTTTTGTACTGACTTTAGCTTTAAAAGGGTCAAAAAAGTAAAAGAAAAAGCTTTAAAAAATTGAAAAATAATGACCTTTTACCGGAATCTAACCTCAGTCCTTCGACAATAAAGTTCTTAAATCGTCTGTTCTGCACAACTGTGGCACTAAATTTTACAAAAACCAATCACTGGTAACTCAAAATTGAAAAATAAAATATCCTGACAAGCAGTGTTTATTGAAACAAAATAACTAAATTTTTCAAAAATAATGATTGCTTTTAAACTAGAACTATTTGAATCAATTTTAAGGCAGTATAATAATTTCGCCTTGATACGGGCAGTTTTGAGTGTTAATATTATGAGTTTTCTCAGCACAGATAAGCAACCAAAAATCAAAGTCTGAAAGATAAAATAAAAAATTACAGTAATAGTTCACAAAATATGAGAGGGGAAAATTGCTCTCGAAAATGTTTTCCGTTTTTTTTTTTCATCCAGACTCAATTTGATGACCGATATAACCATTTTGGAAAATATCGGCCAACTATTGTGCCCACAGACTTTTTCGAGAGCTGTACACAGAGGGGTACAGTTAAACAAGACTAAGGGAGTATGCAAGCACAGAAACGGTCTGCACAGAATCAACTTTTCTTACAAAGGTTCAAATTTTTAATTATTTAAACCGAACTATCGAATTGTAGAAGTATATTTTCTAAGCTCATATTTTCAAACACTAGGGTGGAAGTCAGAAGTTTTTTAAAATAGTTAGAAGTTGGCCAAAAACAACAAAAACCGAATCTAAAAACTCGAAACTGAGGGAATCAAATTTCACAGCTCACACGAGAAGACGCATGTAAAAATGTACTCAGTAATACTTCAATTTTTTTAGCTATCTTTTTCCAGCTAATAATACCTTGAATATTCCTGAGCTTCTAATTAAATCTAGAAACGAAAATTTAATTTAAATTAATAACATAAATTATGATATAAAACCCAAGCTTGAGGGCGAACAATAATAAGACGGAAATAGTATACAAATTGATGACTATCAAATATTGATTTTTTGTAAACTTTAAATTAAAGAGTTTCAATAAAGTTTAAACTTAATTTTCAGGTAAGAAGGATTCGCTCATAAAATAAGACATGTCTTCTGTTTTTTCCCTCGTTTCTTCTTCGGAGATTTGTACATTTTGACTGCTTCTGCGAACAAATTGTGTACATTTGTATTTCTCAGCGCAGATGTCTCCATGTAAAGTTGAGCTCCTATTTCTGTGCACCTAGAAGCGACGATAGATTTCAATAGCAGGCCACTAGCAAAAAATGTTCCCTGCTGGTTTCAAACCAATCACCTCCAAAACGTGAGCATTTGCTAAAAAATTATACCAAAGAAAAAAGTCTAGAACACGTTTCACTGAGATATATTACAAAGCTGGTTGATTTAATATCTCTAATAATATTCAGGAAAGCTTGTCTATTCAAAAACTCGTTTCGTTTATGACTCAGAAAACAGGAAATTTTGACTAGGATTTAAAAAATTTCAAACAATATTCTAATAAAAGAAACCATAACTAAAAAAAAACATTTTATCAAGTGTCTGGACAATTTGAACAAAGGCCATCTATAGTGATCTATCGCCCAACCTGGCCTGCCCTTCGGATGTCGTGACTAGTGCTTCTTCTGTTCCCCGTAAGTCACTCTTGTTTCCGACTAGTATGAAGGGCTTTCCAGGGGCGGCGTGTTTAATCTCGGGAGCCCATTTAATTTTGACATTTTCGAACGATGTTCTTGCATCTACATTCAGTTCGCACGGTCAAAAATTTGCACAAACGTTCCTGTGCCACTGTTTTTATTAGGCTTTTCAGAGAAAAAAAGACGACTGAATAATTTAAACAGCAGTTGTATCTAGCGAAAAAAAAATCAGTTTTCTATGCTTATTTCTTTCTGCTGCTATGTTTTCTTTTCTATCATGCCAATGTCGCAATTATGACACCGGATTCTTATTAACATTCAAAATCCTCGACATGTTTGTGTGCGAACTGATTCAACTCTTGATTCATTTCGACAGTCTGTGAGTGTTTATATTGTACCTATGGCGAATACAATGACGAATGCGTTAGCTTTGGGGTACTGCAGCTGTCGGATCCTGTCGAAGTCGTCACTGCCCGCTGTGTCCTGGATCTCCACTCTCACCTTCTTCCCATCCACCATCACACTGCCATGTGACACATCCATCACAGTCGGAATGTACGCGTCTGGTGACGTCATTCACATCACAGTTTCATTCAATTTTAGTGCGGATATTTTTGTAGTAAAAAAAGGTCTTTCTTCACAAAAGAGAGTTATTAACTAAAAAATTTTTGTTTCTTTTTAAATTTTGAAACTTTTAGCCCGGAAAATTTAACAGTGAACAATCGTTCCTTTGTGAAAGCAATAAAAAATTATGATGAAGCTAACGAATGAAGGTTTTTTATGATGCAATTAGCAATCTGTTAAAATTAAGCGAGAAAATTTTCGTAGGGTCATGGTTCACCCTAACCCTTTAAGAAAAAAATAAACTAAATTTTGCAATGTAACTATATAATCGTTCGATGAGTTTAATTTTATTATCACTAATTAGAATAGAATCGTTATGCTTTAGCAAGGGTTTTTGAAGAAGAATTAAGAAAATTAAAACTTATGAGCCTTGATTTGTTGCTTTTGTTAAACATAGTCATAGAAACTGAGAAAGAAATGTTGATTTAGATGATTTTTTTAAATTTTTTCGTCAAATGAGGTATTCAATCTCCAAAATTGTAGGCGTCTGATATTCCAGATATTCCAGATGAATTCGCTTAATGGTGTAAGTCATTATTATTGAATGATCTGGTTTATCTTGTGACCTGGAAATGAATTTCCGGAGAACATGGAACAAAGACAACTCTTGCCCACGACTCCATCGCCCACCACGACTATGGTCACTTCTTCGCCCATGCACAAAGTCACACAAAGGACACACCAAAGACCAAAGAAGAGGAGAGAGAGACGTCAAAGGTCAACCGAAAGGTCAACAGAATAGTAGTTAATGAATAAATAACAAGGATCAAGTTTTTTAATTACAAATTAGAAATGCCAGGAAAATGTGTGCAAATTTTTTAAGCTTTGAAACCAACTGTATATCAAGGAAATTAGCTACGACACAGTTAAGACAAGGTAACGAAGATAGTTTTATAGTAAATTGCGTGTTAGGGTATCTTGCATTAAGTTTTGAACAAATTTGATGTTTCTCTTACCGCTACTAGCTAGCTATAGATCAATTCCGACCAAGATGAATTAAACAGATAATCAAACGCACAATTTGAAAAGAGCATACTGCTGTCGCATAGCCAGATAAATAAAGCTTGATAAAATCAGGTTTCGAAAGACGAAATGGTGTTTATTATGTTTGATTCATGAGACAAACAATCGCAATATATTCTTCAATCATGAATAATTTACTAAAAACAGCAAGATGAGTTAGAGTTTCGAGTTTAATATTAGTGAGACAACTGAAGTTTGACTAATGTTGACTTTTATTGATGATGAACAAAGTAGACTATCTCAGGAGTACAAGAAGATAAGTATCAACATGCAAAAAGCTGTTCGGATCTCAGTTTTAACATTTAATTTGAAGTCTGCACACAATTCTTGTAAACTAGCCGACCTCTTTCAAGAATGTTTCAATTTAAGCATACGCTTGCAAGATTTTGCTACAAAACGCTCATTTGCAAGCATCTTGTAATATAGTCCTCTTTTGCCTTACAGGTTCACTGATATCCAGTCATTACGACGACAAGGTCGGGTACTTAAGTAATGGTTTGCATTCCGCATACATCGCTGCTGAAATCCGCATAATTGTGTTGAATTGCGCAACATTTGAAGTCGGATTTCTGATAGAACTGAAAGACAACTGTTTAAACACTAGGCGCTAGATCTGATTTTTGGCGAGCGAGCAAAAATTTGGAATCCAGAGGCACTGTGGATTTTGGAGACAAATGCTAGGGCATGCTTGTTTTGGATTCCGCAGATAAACTCATTTTGGCAGTGCGAGCAAATTGAAGCATAACTGTCAGTGGATTCCGCAATCGTTTTTTTTTCTTTTTAGTTTTTTATTCTATAGTTCGAAAAAAATGTTTGTGAAATCCAATGACAAAAAACAAACTGCGGAAATTACTGACAAACAGTAGAATCTAGCATCAAAAGGAAAATTTGACTGCGGAAGCCATTGACAAATTGGTGGAATTGAGTGACAATTAACGGAATTCACTTCATTGGCCAACACCCGTGTGTTACCGGAATCTAATGAAAAAAAATGAATTGACGGAGTTTTGTGTAGGCATCATTTGTTTGTACATTTCACTAAAAAAGTCTGTATCACACGCAAAAGATGTGTCTGTGGAATCCAGACGCGTGAAAGCACAAATATATGCTTAGTTATAAAACCGAAATTGGCGCCGACAATTTTACCTACATTTTTACCGACAATAATAAAACCGACAATTTTACCTACATATCTTGACCAAAAATTTTCACACGTAAAATATTTTTTTAAATTGAGCACAAATTATTGGAATCTTTCAATTAAAAAAAAAAACGGTTCTTAGAAGCTTTCTTCAGATACAGTTGAAGGTCATCTCGTCTGAGCGTTCAGGCCAATACGAGAATGAAGGTTTATTAATATGAGTCACCGTGTTATAATAGGTTTTTGCGCTGGTTAAACGTAACAATTATCGTATTCTGACAAATTGGAAAATCGAATCAGATTACCTGCTCAATGTAAGATATCTTTTGGAACATTTTGAAGACGTAAATCACTACTTAAAGTGACCACTTTTGGGTGGTCATGGAACCAATGTCGTGAGGGTCCGATTTGAGTCCACACTAAATCTGCTACTGATGGATTTATCTTGAGTTTATTCTTTCTGAGTGAACATTTTGTAAGACTTTTTCATGAAAAAATAAACAAAAAAAATCATCACGACCTATATCAGAGCCTGAATTACGTTCATTGACTCTTAAAAAAAACGTTTTAGGCAAACAATTGAATTGAAAGTAAAACATTGGAGCCATAGAACACTCGAAATCATTTGCAACTTATCGAAAATAAAACAAAAGCAATTAAAAATGATCAATATGCGGTTCATACTGGCCCTGAAACTATAAAATTAGTTGTATTTTTTAATGGCAAAAAATAAAATCGCTTTACTAATACGCTGGTTTTTGAAATCATGACGCAAATTGAAGATAAAAAACTGTGCAGGTAAATGTGCGATCCCAGTTAGAAAAAAAGTTCATCTTTACTTATGCAACTATCTAAAATTTATTTCGAAAATTTCACTGTTCTGATTAATGAGCTAATCGCTTGTTTTTTTGCTTTGTTTTATTTGAAAACTGCGTAAAACACAAAAACTAAAAGCCAATATTTAAAAACTCGAAAACAAAAGTGGTATTTAAAATCTTACTATCAAGGTGAACTCTTGCATATTCGTACAGTCTGCTTGAACAATTGATCCAATTTTCGACAAAATTAACGGATTATTTGTGCTCGGATTATTTATGAGTTGAAAGTAAAATTGAAAGTAAAACATTGGAGCCATAGAACACTCGAAATCATTTGCAACTTATCGGAAATAAAACATAAGCAATTAAAAATGATCAATATGCGGTTCATACTGCCCCTGAAACTATAAAATTAGTTGTATCTTTTAATGGCAAAAAAAGTTTATTACCGCTTATGCTGAGAAAAGTTTATTACCGCTTAAAAGCTTTTGATGTTGTGAGCTTAATACTTAAAGTTATTTCTACTGCTACCATTTTCCCTCACTTACTTTGAAAATTGTCAATTTGAGATAACTAGGGCGCGGTATACTTCGGAATATTAACACTTCAGCAGCGACTTGATGCTGCTCCGAAATCATTCAAAAATAATTGAGGAGAGTTATTTGGTCTTTTAGTATGTTACTAGACGCTAAATGCAATTGATTTTTTTTCATAGATGTACGGGGGAATTTTCAAAACAAAAATCAGAACAAAACATCGATTTTTTTCTTCATATTTATGGAAAAAAAATATTTAAATTCAAAAACCATTTCATAGAGGTTAAAGAGTAGTCGGAGCTTTCATGGCTTCGCCTGATACCAGCGGTCTTGTTCCATTTAACTTTTGCAAAGATAAATCGACAAAAAAAATCAAATTTAGATGGACAATTTTTTCCTAAATCTGAAATTGCCTTGCAAAAGTGCTATGAATCTCGGAAAATTGCACAAAACAATTATTATTACTATTCTGAATGTCGAGGAAAATAAACATATGTTCTTCAAAGACCTTCTCTTCTGAGTTTATATGGGAGTTTATTAGAGATTATACCCAGAACGAAACGTTTTAAATGAACTGAAAAGAAAGGAAGCCCTGAATAATTGACTCGGATGATATTTTTTGCGAACGTAAACGCGGCAAAATAAACCGGCTAAATTATTATTACAAATTAAAGGTTTTATCAATGCGTTAGTAGATAAAATGCGTTAGTAGATCCATGCAATAAATTGTGCTTAAGGAAGATTTTCACAAAAACCTTACAATTCAAAATTTCCATTTTGGACCAAAAACTGCTTCAGACACTTTAAATGACAATTGAATAGTTCAATGATTCAGACCAATACAATCAGTCGAACTTAAACAACTTCTTTTTTCGTATTCCGGGAAACAGATTCTATTATCACAATTATTTTTAATAAAGAGATTTTTTCAATTCAAAAAAAAGGATAGTCACCTTCTGTGCGATTACTACAAAAATTTAACCCTGAATTAGGAAAAGAAAATGAAATCCGAAAATTATTTTAGTGATTGGCAAAAGAATGAGAGGTAACTACAAGACTGAGAAGTAACATTGTTAAAATCTGGGGCGGTTCTAGGATTTTCTCGAGGGCGGGGGTGCATTTTCAAAAAAATTTCGAAAATTTTGCCCACGTTCTTTTTTGCGCCGCAAGCAAACTTTTGAAATTAAAACAGACAAAAAAGAGTTTTTGAGCAGTTTTTTTGAAACTGTTGACCAAAAAATTGCGTTTTTTAGCGCGCGTTCGTCACTCAGAATTAGTATGAATTAGTATTTATTAAAGACAAATTTTAGCGTGTCTAGAATAAAGTCAAATTTGCAAAAGCAAAGTTATGTAATAAATACAGTGGAAGGTCAACTCCACACACCTATTTTAATCCATTTTTGTCTGGAAACCGAAAATATTTAGACCAGTATCTCTGGACACTAAGACAATTTTTTGATTTTTTAAAAATCGAATTACGATTATTACGAATTTCGGCCTTTAAATGATTCACCACTTGAACCTTCACAAGTTTTATTTGGGCTGAGAAAAAAGAGAAAAAACTAAACCTAGCACATAGCTTCTTTCCACTCTTAAAAATGGTCGAATGAACAACAAGATTGATAGGTAAATTTCCTATTAAAAAGAACACTGCAGCCCACTAATAAAAAATCATGACACCGCGGTTGAGAAACAAATGAATAACAATTATCCGCGTCATTCATTTTGTTCTCAGCGTAAAATGAGGGAGTACTTTAAGAAGTAATTTGACTAGTAAATTGAAGAAATCGGACCGATTGAAGCAAAATTAAGAAAATTGTTTATTCTATCGACGATTCTGATTACTAGGTACAATTTTCAAATTAAAAAAAGAAGAGCTGATTATCAGTTGAATTATAAATTCGAAAACAAAACTGAGAAGCGAGATTTAAAAAGAAACACACAATTAGAGTTTGAAAATAGACGACCGTTTCCGGACTCTGAGAACAGCTAACGGGAGGAACGAAAAATATAGAAAACTTCATAATGCGACTATCTGAAAATAGGGTTCCTGGCATTAACCCTGTTTTCCCAGTTTGATGAATCTCTTGACAACAAGGAAGTAACTTTTATTACAGATTAATGAAGTCTACAGGATATCACATATTTTGAGCTTTGGCTTCGGATTTTGTACTATCTCTCCCTTCAATACTTTAATCGCACTAACAAATACTAAATCTACATTCGATCTATCCTTGGCGGAACATTCGACGTATAAGCAAGCACCGCACTGCTTTTTAAGTTGTTCCGACTGGTCTTTGCTGATCAAATATGACGATTGTATTTGGCTATCGTGTCTCGTGTCTGCTTTCGTTCCGACTAGTATGATGGGTTTAGAAGGTGCATTGTGTCGTGCTTCGGGCAGCCAATAAGATTTCACGTTTTCAACACTGTTTTTGTCGTCTGAAAACAATGTGAAATAAATTCACAGGGACCGAAAAATCTTCTAAATGAGATAAAAACCTTTTCCTCAAAACAGAAAGAAAACAATGCAATTTGCAACAAATTTGTTTCTGAATTTTTAAAAAAAGCATTTCTCTCAAAATCATATCAGAGCACAAAAAAGAATATTTGAGGATCATTGAAAAATGCATTGATTAGTTCAAACGTCTATTGCATTCATACAGTTTTGGAAAATTAAAATCAACGCTCGCTTTATTTCAAAAGTCAAAATCCGGGTGTTTTTTCTTCATGATTACCACAGTTTGACGAACGTTTTTGTGACACTTTTTTATTGACATATTTGATCATTGGTTTTTTCTGATGACTGACACTTTTTGATAATTGTTTTTTTTCGGCTCTTTTCCATTTTACCCCTGTGAAATTTTTGAGATTCAATATATGGAAGAGTATGTTTTTGCTCTTTCACACATGTTTTTTCACGATAAGGCATGAATGAAAAATGAAATATTAGAACGCATGAATTAAAATAGAAATCATTTGCATAGTTTCGCGCACTTTTCCGGGCTCTTTCACAATTTTCTGGCATCTTTCTCTCAGAAAGAGCCAAAACATACTCTTCAACAGTTAGAACATAGTTGAAGATGGCCTCGGGCAAAAGAGCCGCACTCGGGCACTTCCTGCCCTCAGGCCGGTCTCTTTTTCCCTAAAGCATCTTTCAACTATGTTCTAACTACTACAAAGTCTATTTAAAATGTTTTCATAAATCAAAATTGCATAAGAAGTGTCAGCGTGAACAAATTTTACATTATTTCTGACAAAAAAAGCCGTGTAAACAATTTTTGAACCGCTTTATTTTGTAAATTTTACGAAGGAGTGGGAAACTGAAAAAATTCGGCTTTTTTCTACAGAAAATTTTTTATCATCGTTTTCTTTCCAGTAAGAAAATCGGTGTGATGATTTTCGTCTAATTGAACAGCACTCACTGACTGCGAAGCAGAGAATGATGATGTTGCAGGCTGGGTACTGGGTGAGTCTGACTCTGGTGTAGTCCTTCTGGCCTGCAGAGTCCTGCACAGTCAAATTCACTGGCTGGTTGTTGTGGACCAGATTTCGAGACATGAAGTCAACGACCGTCGGGATTCTCTCTTCTAGAGTTCAAGTTCAACCCAACCCGGGCGAGTTTCAAGTTGGCGCACCGTATTGTATTTATATATTTTTTAAATTAGGTTCTAGAAGCCGAAGTCTAACCTTGGATTACAGATGTGCAAAATCAGCTTCACAGTTTAAAGTAACCCATAAAACCTCAATTTACAAGACGCTAGAACTACTAAACAATCTAAATATTTGGCTAAATGACCTAGCATACAAAGTCAAGAGAAGGCAACTTCCATCCAACTCTTGCAAGTTCATCCAACTTCCATTACTCAGGTTTAGCACCTCTTTTTGCAAAAAAAAATTGTCAAATGCTACACTTTTTAATGGAAAACATAACACTGCCTGATTTTTTTAAAACTCAAAAACCGAATCAACTAAAAAAGCTCTTTAAAGCCATTAAAACAAATTTGTTTACGGACAATTGATTAACAGGTTCATTTGGTTATAAATGGAAAACCAATTTTTGTTTTATACAAGGATCTTTTCGAATAGATATGATTTCAAAAACCATTTAGTGACCCCTGATACAGCTGAATATAAACTGCATTTTCAATAAATTCACATGAAACCTTTCAAGGAATATCAAATTATTGCATTTTCGAAAACTTATATTATAAAGCTAATATATGAAAGATAAAAAATTAGAACGATTTTTGTTTGGACTAAGAATTTGATTAGTGTATTTCAATATAGGAATAATTTGGTTTTCATATAATTTTGAAAAGTGAAACATGCCCGGGTAAATATTCTGCGTGAACACACTGGCAAGAGCCGTCTTCCCCACTCCGCCATCTCCGATAAGTAAGCAGTTGAAACTATTCATAACTGAATTGTAATAACCCAGTTATAACCAAATCAGACCCACTCTCCAGGTTGTACGTGGTTAGGTTCAGGTGTTATAATCTGTCGTTTGTTCGAAATGCTATTAAATGAATGCGCGACAAGATTAGTAAAATGACTTAAGATATCCAATCTTTATCTTTGATTTACATTAAGAGAACCCAAATACTTTAAGATTAATAGTTAAAACTGGTGTTTTAATAATTGATTAGTTTTCAGATTTGGTATGTTTGGTAACATAAGATATTCATTAGCTTAACCGAGTTACTTGCTCTCTTAAAAGTACAAACATCGACAAATAAATGTCGGAGAAAGAAATCAATGGTTTATATCTTCATTAGTAGCGCATGTTTGCAAAACTTCGCTATTATTAACTTTTTAACAAGGACTTGAAAATTACGGCTGGCATTGTTTTAAAATTGGCTCTTTTTCTTTTTCAACCCCCCACTTTTCAATTTTTCTTTTTTCTGGTTGTTTCACGTCTAGTTATGGCAAAATGCGTGATTTTACAAATTAAGGGATGAAAAACAAATCTGATCACACTTGTTAGTTTGTTCACAATGCCAATTGTCATTCAATTATGACAACGTAAGAGTAGTTTTTAAAAAATGATCCACTACAAAATGAAAGACCACTACAAAAATGAAAATCTTGAAATGCGAGGAATAGGCGGAAAAAAGCCCTCTTAGCCATTGCTCGGACATCATAATACATCTAATCTTTTTATAAACTTAGTAAGAAAATAATATGAATATTTTCTCAATTTTTTAGTGTCCAAATTCATAGAACAAGCAAAAGTAGCTGTATACACTTTTCTTAAATGACCTTATGCGCTTTTATTAAATGACCTAAAAGATGATTTTCGACAACACTTGAATCAAAATTTAATAATTTATTTAAGTAAGCGATCAAAGAAAACAAAAGCAAATGATCAGAGCTATCCTGTACTTTTTCTCTAAACAAAAATCTATTGTTTAAGTAGCCCTTTCTGACTTTTTGTAAAATTATGGAAATGAATTTGCCAAATTTGGACAAGTAAAGCGCGCTGTAACTCAAGCTATTAACGCGTGCGCAGCGAAATCATCCGGCTCAAAATTTGTTCCGAATTAACTTGAGCCAAACTATTAAAACCTACCAGACTGAAAACACATCACTTTGTACTTGACATGGCGTGTGGGGGCATAAAATAAGAAAAAAACAATCTAAACAAAAACTAAAATTGTTTTTACAATCACTTAACTTTTTTTGACGTTAATGGACAGTTGAAATCTTCAGAGCTTTGCCCTGATGTACGAGCAGTCTTGAAGTTCCGTTTATGAAAAACTGTAATACTTGTGCTCGGTGTGGTTTTTTGTCAAACAAATTTTAATTTTTGAACTAGCCAACTCCTAATGGAGTTTTTCGAAAACCATCTGAAAAGTTTTGACGCCCGAGTTCAAATTTAAAAACATTTTCAATCTATAATATTGTTTTGAAAGGTTACGGCGGTTTAAAATCTCCTATTTAGCTAAGTTGGGACAATGAACGCGCGATATATTTTCATCCTGTAATGCGTGAGGGGCCATTTAATCCGGTTTACAAATATTTACAGTTCAAAGTGAGGCGATTAATTTTCCCAGCTTCAACGAATCAACGAAAGCGAAGAATATATATATATATATATATATATATATATATATATATATATATATATATATATAAAATATATATTCGGGTTGTTTATTTATTCACACCAATTTTTCAAAACTCTGGTATCTAGGGACCAATCTCTTGGCCAGGTGTGTACACCAATATAGTAACCTTCCACGCGTCCGTCTAAACTGCTCGTTTTATACTTTACACATGGAGAACAATACCGCACTAAAAAACTTTTCCAAATTGAAGTAGGGTAGCAAATTGGTTTTGATAATTCCATACCCGACTCAAATTTTAACACTTGATATTATCAGCCGAAGTTTCTTAGTTTTGCAAATATTCAATTTGCCAAAAACTATTCGAGACCAATGAAAGGGCAGCCGGAACAATCAGGGCTTTGTAATCAATCAGAAAAGAAAAAATTGAGATTATTTTGTCAATTATTTAACCAAAATACATTTCAGTTGGCCTTGGAGTGCAGTCGAAACAATCAGGGCTTCGCAGTGATATATTGTACCTCACTTGTACAAGACTGTATCACTTGTAACTATCAATAAGTTGCTACACAATAAATGCATCATTTTGCCGTTTACACGGCACGCAAAATTTTTCAAAAATATTTTAATTTTTTTTTTGAAATCTCATCAAACTTCAAACTTACCTTTTCTAAAAACAAAACTGAGTTGACTGAAGTAATTTCAAAAATTTAAGCATTGAGTTTTTCCCAAAACCTTAGTTGTTGCTTTATTGAAGTACGAGTGAAAAATTTTGTGATTTTGAAATTTTCCCAGAAACCTGTTTTTTTGTTGAAACTTTAAGGCGTAGCACCTTATGCACGGAGACTTCCCACAACCTGTGGCCTTGATTAAACACTTGATATCAGATTGAGTTGTTTTCGAGAAGTCAAAAAATTTCAAAAAACGGACAAGAAATCAAAACATTCACTTTTCCGATGGTCATAAATTTCTGTTAAAAAAATTGGCTGTAACCGTTTATGCAAGGGAGTTTCCCACAATTCTTTTTCCCATTAAAACCAAAACCTCACATTTGGGACGGTAGTTTTCGAGAAAAGATGAAAAGTTTCAAAAAGCAGTAAAAAAATCGAAAATTTGACTTTTCTGAGGGCCATAACATTTTGTGTGAAAAAATTTGGGCGTAGCCGCTAATGCATGTTACGCTGTAAAGTATGAAGAATAAATCTGTTCAGAATTGTCGATTTGTTCACCACGCCAAATTTCATTGCATTATGACAACGTTAAATAGACTTTTCAAAATTGAATTTGAAAGGGGGAAACTGGAAAAGAGCCCAAATATGTTTGCCATGGCCTTTTTAGTCCGTATTTTAAGTTTTAAAAAATGCAGGTGGGGGAAAAGGAAAAAGAGCCGTTACACAATAAAATTGATGCTCGTGTGAGGTAGGGGGGGGAAGGAAAAAGAGCCCAAAACGGTTAGTACTTTGAGCTTAAAAACATAGAACGCGATCTTTTTTTTGGCATTAGTCTTAGTTGGCGCAAACCGAAATCTTAGAGCTTACTTGTGTTCGTCATTTGGATCAGCCTTAGGAGGCCGGTAAAACGCACTATGATTTACAGCGGAAACACCAGCCTGGTTTTGCAAGGCCAAATTCAGAGGCGGGGGTCTGTGTCCTGTTGGAAGTCTAGGTCTAGATGGCCCTGGTTGAGATGTGGCCCCTATAGGGTTGATACTGCCTCGTCCTGGGCCTGCTCCGCCAGTCTGAGTTATTGGACTGATACCAGGAACCCCGCCGGACATATTGAAACTGGGTCCGCTTACCGTTAAAGGTGGCATCCCAGAGGAATTGAATCCTCCAGACCCGCTTGGAGCTATAGGGGCCACACCCGAGAGACCGAACCCACCGGACCCGCTTGGAGCTATAGGGGCCACACCCGAGAGACCGAACCCACCGGACCCGCTTGGAGCTATAGGGGCTACACCCGAGAGACCGAACCCACCGGACCCGCTTGGAGCTATAGGGGCCACACCCGAGAGACCGAACCCACCGGACCCGCTTGGAGCTATAGGGGCTACACCCGAGAGACCGAACCCACCGGACCCGCTTGGAGCTATAGGGGCCACACCCGAGAGACCGAACCCACCGGACCCGCTTGGAGCTATAGGGGCCACACCCGAGAGACCGAACCCACCGGACCCGCTTGGAGCTATAGGGGCTACACCCGAGAGACCGAACCCACCGGACCCGCTTGGAGCTATAGGGGCTACACCCGAGAGACCGAACCCACCGAACCCGCTTGGAGCTATAGGGGCTACACCCGAGAGACCGAACCCACCGAACCCGCTTGGAGCTATAGGGGACACTTGCGGTGACCCACTCGCAGCGCTGCCATTCAATTGTCTTGAAACTCCAAATCCCCCGGACCCGCCGGAAGATGGAGGTGAAAGACTGTGACCCGAACCGTATGAACTCGTCGGGCTTGCAGCGGTGGCCATCTGTCTCTGAGGACTACAGGGAGAGTGTCCAGTGAGGCTATCTGTAGTTCTATTGAAACTGGCGGTAGACCCGGCGCTGATCCTCCGAGGTTATTAGAAGTTGTCGCGTTGAAATTTAATTGGGCAGGGTTGCCGCCGAAAAACTTTTGCGGTGATCCGCGACCGGACTCAGCGCTATTCACTACTTGAATGTAATCTCGTGGACCCGAAGGCATAGCCCTAGGCAAAGACGCAGGTGGTGAAACATTGCCTACTGGCTGATTCATTGCTGGCTGATTCATTGCTGGCTGATTCATTACTGCATTCATTGCAGGATTCATTGCTGGCTGATTCACTGCAGGATTCATTGCTGGCTGATTCACTGCAGGATTCATTACTGCCTGATTCATTGCAGGATTCATTGTAGGCTGATTCATTACTGGATTCATTGTTGGCAGATTAGGTTGTTGTCCGCCAATTGGGCCTCCCTGTTGGTTTAAAGGGGCGTTTTGCATTGGCACTATGCCTGTCCGCGTGGGATCGATTGGTCTGTAGTAACCAGGGGTCGCTCTTGGGGGCTGAGGTGCACCTGGTGCTGCTGCTGCTGGCCGGATTTTACCAGCTGACCCCCCGGGCGCATTAAACCTCGACATGATTTGAGCTCACACTTTAGTGTTTTTGTTTAATTTCAACCGCATTCAATCTTAGTTAGTTATCTAGTTGATGAAAATAAAAAATTGATTTAGAACTTTTGGAATAGCTATCAATGACTTTCATAATTTTTGGCGGGCATACGACACAATTTACATTGCTTTTTTTGCATCCGTCCAAACGAACATAATTAACCACATTTTTTCAACTAGAACTACAGCGGTCCTTCCTATTATAGCCCCTCCGGCTTTTTTCCAGTTTCCTAACCCCCCTCGCGAAAAACAAAATACAGCTGTTCAAAAACTGTTCACACGTCATTTAGCATGTTATAAACTTTGTAAAAATTGTTCACCTGTTCACGCTGACAAGTTTCAATAGTTTTTAACATGAAAAGTCTCCAGTGCAGTCCCCCAGCTAAATATAGCCTCACAGTAATAGTAAGACCACAGATTGGGCTCTATATATTTTTTGTTACTAGGTTAGGGGAAGGAGGAAGGGGGCTCATTTTCAGTTCCCCCCGCTTTGGTTTTTTGAAATTCATTAAGTTTAAGGGAGGAACTGGAAAAGAGCCCCCCTCCTCCTTCCCCCAGCCTAGTAACAAAAAATATATAGATCCAAAACGGTGGTCTTACTATTATGGTGAGGCTATATTTTGCGTGGGGTGACTGGAACATTATGGGTAAGTCTTTTGTTCACTTGTCCAAGAGCAGGACTTTGTTGCCATGCCCGGAGACAAAATATAATACTTTTTCTCAATTTTGATTGATCAAAGCCCATTTAAAATGACTTTTGATGTTCTAAATTGTAACAACACTTATCAGCGTGCGCTAGTGAACAAATTGTGGCTCTTTCTTCTGACCCTTCCCTCCCCCAGCTACAATTTTTTTTACATTTTTACAAGTAAAATAATTGATCACATTGTCCAATTGTCA